AAAATACGTTTACGAATGCGCGTTTAATGTATAACGGACGGGATAAGCTAAGCTAAAATTATCTATTTCAGTTAATGTTGCAGATTGCGTTGTTCCTTAATCTTCGAATTGGATCCGGCTTATTATTTTTTGCAGACTGTTAGAGCAATTTTATAAAAGTAAGCATGAACTTTCGATTATTTCAAATAGAATTTCTGATATATATTTACTAATATGTAAAGGATATACAAAGCGAAAGTATCTTTTGGAGTCCATTAAACAAAATGTGGAATTGCTGAAAAAAATGGATAAAGCCATATCCTTTGTTTATCTAAACTTTGTTTATCTTTAACGCGCGGAGCGCAATGAATTGGAAGTTGATCTGTCAACACTATCCTTATCTTAAGGGCAGATGTTTTTATTTTATTTGGCTTATAATTGCTTACTAAATGTGGTATTTCCTCTCGATGTACTCCGTCTTTGATATGATTTAAATCAAATGCCTCATCATTATAATTCGCTTCCAATAGCGAAGAAAGTGACAGAGGTTATTGAAAACGAAAAAATTTCGATTGACAAATTAGTTGGTATTCTTGACACAGCAATTATAATACTTGAACAGCGGAACTTTGTAACTGAACAAGAAATTACGTCTGTTTATGGAATTAAAGAGAATGTATTATCACATAAAAAACGAAGCAACTTAAACAACTTACATTGAAAGAAATGTTTAATAAAGTAAACAAATAAATATTAAGCTTTTTTTTCGTAAATTTTGATACCCTTTAGATCATAATTGTTCTTTATTTCGTAAATTATGGTTTCATATTTTTAATTTTATAATTTCTGCATGCCATTTTACCAGATTTAAACTGATGATCTATAAACCGGAAAAATCGATAATCCGGAATCGCCGAATTCCCGACAAATCCGGATTAACAACTTTTGACTGTATATTGGAAATGGAAAACACCTTGAATTATGTTAATTTCAAATGGATTCAGAAAAAAAATCAAGAGACGATTTAAAATATTTCAAGTCTTGAAATCGATTTTGGAATTCCATCAATATTCCTTCTAGCTCTTTTGTATACTCGTTGAGTTTTTCTTGTTTAATATTGGAACAAATTTTTCTGTTCAAGGAAACTGACAAAATGTTTTAATTTAATGCCCTTTTGAAAAAGTTGTAATTTAGTTTGAAAATTAAATATATACTGTGAGATGTCGGATATTATTTTATCTTTCTCCTGCAATTGTAAATTCAATGTTTGCAGATGTTCCATTATCCCGTTATGCATTATCATTAAGAAATTAATCTCATTTGGAAGTTCTTCGTCCTTTAATTCTTCACGGAAATTTTTGAATTGTCGGTGATTTTTATGCATTAGTGCGAATGTAATTTACAATGTGTAACACTGTTTTAATAACATCAGGATATTTTAAATATTTTGTAATGAAATGTTCTTGGTGAATTATGCAGTGAATCAGTGTGAATTGTAGAATTTGAGAATCATCTCTTAAAAGCCCAATAAGACATTTTTTTTTTAATTAAATTTTTTTTTTTTTTAAATTTTTATTTTTACCCAGCATTGCCGGAGCTCCTCCACTTGCAGTGCTTACAAGTTTATTAAGAGGCACACCAAAAGTTTTCATTATGGAATCTAATGCATTTTTAATGTCGACACCACAAGATATGGCTCTTGAATTGCTACTAAATCTACAACGAATTCAGGTGAAACAAAATGTATGAAAACTGCCAGTTGCGGAAGATCTGTGATATCTGTCGATTCATCAAGGGCTAAGCTGAATGGAATATATTTCTTCAAACCATTTTTTAAATTATACTCAAGAGATGTATTAATTGCTGTTATGCGTCATTCGGTTGTGTGTCTCGAGATGGGAATTTGCGAAACAACTTTGCAAAATGCTGCATTATTTGGATCTAAAACTTTAAATATGTCTTCCAAGTCTTTTATATATATATATATATATATATATATAAACTCTCCCTCTCCATACAGTTGTTTTGCATGAGCAATATTCCGGGCAATAACAAAACTGGCTTTAGCCACATATGTGGCTATTAGCTTGATTGCTAAAGGTCATCAAAATTGACTGTTGTGTATTTAAATTTGACTTTAAAGAAGCAAGTTTATCTGATCTTAATTTGGCATTTGGTGGATACTGATTAGAAAACTGAGGATGATTGGTTTTATAATGTCAACGTAAATTGCTAGCTTTATACTTTTTGACTGTAGAATTATAAATAACACATAATGCTTTTCTGTTATTGTTAATTGAAAAAAAATTTCTTCTCCCGCTCATTATTAAAACTTCTATTTTCTTGCTCATATTTTCTTTTTTTATTTTTGTTCTCTATTCTCATATTTTTAAAAGAACTGGAAATAAATAAATAAATTTAGAAAATACAAGTTTTGTGTTATTGAAACAATAGCAACACGTGTTACATACTACGAAACAAATTATAGTTAACTTACCAAAAATTTCAGATTACAAATTATATCCGTAGCAAGAGTGATGCAAATTGTTTCCTCCAGAGCACAATGTCAACTGTCCGTTGCAATGAAAGTTTACAAATTCAAAATCGGTCTGGAGTCGGTCGATTACGTAGATCATCATTCGTCGAGAAGCGATTAACCAGACAAGGCTTTGACTCCCATATGTTTCTCAAAATTCACGAGGAAGTCGAAGGTGAAGAAAATCTGATGAACAGAAATGTTATGCAGCTGTTTATGTTCGTTCACGAAGTTTTCGATGAGTCATATCATTGTTAACTTGGACAGAAATAAAATTTGTTACAACGTTGCACTTAGACTTACATATTTGTTCTCAGTAATTTAAAAGACATTTTAAAACACATACAGAACAATAGTAATTTTTTAAAATATAATAACACAAAAATGAAAAGAGAACTCTACATTTATTGAGAGCCAGAAGTAATCCTTTAAAGAGCCGCAGGTTGGCCAACCCTGTTGTATATTATTTATAGTGCATCTAAATTCTGAAGAGTTTTGTTTTTTGGAAGTAAATTATTGGAAATTTTTGAAAAGTGGTATCGTCTTTATTTTCTTTTTTCATTTAGTTTAAAAAATAAATTTTGCGAGCTTGTATTTCACATTTGCTTTCACGTCCTCTTATTTTTTTTAATATAAGAAAAATTTTAAAAAGAAATGTTTAAAATTTATGTTTATACAGTCAAAAGTCGTTAATTCGGACTCGTCGGGACTTCGGCGATTCTGGTTTATCGATTTTTCCGGATTAAAGATCATCAGTTTAAATCTGGTAAGATGGCATGCAGAAATTATAAAATTAAAAATATGAAACCATAATTTATGAAATAAAGAACAATTATGATCTAAAGGGTATCAAAATTTACAAAAAAAAAAAAAAAAAAAAAAAAGCTTAATATTTATTTGTTTACTTAATTAAACATTTCTTTCAATGTAAGTTGTTTAAGTTGCTTCGTTTTTTATGTGATAATACATTCTCTTTAATTCTATAAACAGACATAATTTCTTGTTCAGTTACAAAGTTCTGCTGTTCAAGTCCCATAATTGCCGTGTCGAGAATACCGACTAATTTGTCAATCGAAATTTTTTCGTTTTCAATAACCTCTGTTACTTTCTTCGCTATCGGAAGCGAATTATAATGACGAGGAATTTGATATAAATCATATCAAAGATGGAGTACATCGAGATGAAATACTACATTTAGTAAGGAATTATAAGCCAAATAAAATAAAAACATCTGCCCTGAAGATAAGGATAGTGCTGACAGATCAACTTCCAATTCATTGTGTGCCTTGGCGTTAAAGATAAACATAGTTTAGATAAACAAACGTTAAAGTTTAGATAAACAAAGGATATGCCTTTATCCATTTTTTGCAGCAATTCCACTTTTTTTTTAATGGACTTCGAAACATACTTTCGCTTTGTAGATTCTTTACATATTAGTAAATATATATCAGAAATTCTATTTGACATAATCGAAAGTTCAAGCTTACTTTTATAAAATTACTCTAACAGTCTGCAAAAAATAGTAAGCCGAATCCAATTCGAAGATTAAGGAACAATGCAATCTGCAACATTAACTGAAATAGATAATTAGGTATTTTAGCGTATACCGTCCGTTATACATTAAAAGTTCATTCATAAACATATTTTGCACAAGCGCACATGTATATTCGCAGCCGTAAAGGTCTTATGCGCATGCGTCAACCCGACACATGCGCAGAAAGTTTGTAGCTTTGAGGTCCGGATTATAGATCATTCCGGATTATGGGTGTCCGAATTAAAGACTTTTGACTGTATTCATATTTTAAATGTTATAAGAGGTTAGATTAAAATATTAATGATTTATGTCTTTTTTACTAGAATACTGCATTTATTTTTCAAATCTTTAAAATAGTAGTTATTGTTATTTGTAAATATACAGGAATCTTAAAATGAGCTTGTATTTATTTACTTTGTGAACGTAATGAATAGAAACTTGGATCAGTCTTCTTTCACCTTTATAATGTTTTTGATTTGTGCTTTCACCTTATCCTTTCATTTATAGTGTTTTAAATTTGGTAAGTTATTATGGCCTTTTAAATGTTTCCCATGTTCTTATTAGAAAAACTAATATTCTTTTTAAGTAAATTAATGCATATCTAAGAATAGAAAAGATTAGCTAATGTTGATTTACTGTGCAGAATAATTATTAAATACAAAAGCAAATGGACAGAAGTTGTTTAAACAGCAATTCCAAAAGTTGCTTCTCCCCATCTCAGAAATTATTCTCATACAGAATGCATATTTGCTGTTCTTGCATTTTTAAAGGGATAAAGAATTATTATATCTTTGGAATAGTTTCATTTAGATTTTAATTCAAACATCAATTATATAGCCATCCAGAAATCAGGAAAAATGTAATTTTTAAATAATTTTTTAAAAATCTTTCTGAGATTATATTATAGTAGAAAAATTTTAAACAAAATTGTAATTAATATATTATTTTCAGTGGCCAGAGGCTAAGGTTATTAGTTGTACCCAAAGAAGATGACATATTGCAACTGGTAAGTGTTTGTAAGATTTATTTGTACCATTCTGATTTATAATTAAAATTTCACAGAATAAAAATTTGTGTATGCATTTAAAAGAAGGTAATTAAGAAAGTAAGAATATTAAATAATGTATTATTTTGATCATGGAATTGAATAACGTACTGAATCGATCTCTCTCTCTCTTTTTTTTTTTTTTTTTTGTTGTGTGTGTGTGTGTGTGTGTGTGTGTATCGGTATATTTTTGTAATATTATAATGTGTATTTGAACATATCAGTAAAGGAGATTTAATGCATTTTTAAAGAAAATTTCCATCTTTTCTGCATGCAAGAAGCAGTCAAAAAAAATTTTTTTTCTCTAGATTTCTTGCTGGAAATATTTTTATTTGTGGAGGGTGTATTTCATGCTTTATAGACTTACTGATGTTTTGCTTGTGCCCACTTTTTTTATATTTACCATGATAAAAAAATTATTGACCTTTCAGTAAAATGTAAAATTTTTAATAGTTAAAGAAATATAAGCATGTTTGCAATATGCATGAATAATATTTTATTTTATATGATCATCATAAAATTTAAAATGAGACAAAATACTCTAGTTGATACACCTGGAACCACACTTAATCATAAGTGAAAATCAGGAGTTTTTGCAGAGGACTCGTTTGCTTCATCAGCTGGAGCTGGAATAGTATTAGCGGAGAATCTCAGAAACGCAGTACAATGAAATCATTATCTAACAACGTCATAGTTCCTGCAAAAAACTTCATTACTTAGAGGAATTTGCAAAATGGAGGTTATGACAAAATGCAATTTAAGATGAGTAATTTTTTTAAACTTAAATGTAAAATAGTAGTAAAATGAAATATAAATGCAAAATTACTTATGTTTAATGTATCCATTCTGTGAATTTTACATACGAATATTACATAAATTCATTAAAAAAACAGTTTCTTTAGTTTGTTTTGATTATTGGGAACAACATTTCCTGTCACAATAAGCCTTGCATCTTTGTATTGCATGGAAAATGTCTTCTGGTACACTTTCTTCAAACTGAAAACCATGTTGTAAATTGTAAAATACATTTAACCTATCTTTTTTATTATTATTTTAGAATTACTATCTTTACTGACGATCTTTATTTTAGAAGATTTTGTACATTCATTTTCTTTAACATTTTCATCATTTTGTCATCATCAATTGCTTTCTGGCTGCTCTTTTTTCTGCTTTCCAGTACTTATTTATATGCTTCAGTAGGAAATCCTGAGGTCTCGACATTGTTTTATCTATAAATAATTAAGACTTTGTTATCTATAAATAATAAATCATGTAATCATTTATTATTCTCTAATTGTTCTCCACTTTACAACTGTAGCTTCATATTATTCAGTTCCTTATCTTTCCATCATCATTCATTGACAGTACTATTATCAGTACTAGTACCAGTCTTGGTGATGAAGCCAGCTTTTTTTTTTAAACAGTAGTGAATAGTTTTCATTAACCTCATAATTCCACAATTGTTCAAGTTCAGATATACTGTCACATAAATTTACTACACATAAAGGCTAATTACTTTTAAATTTTCATTGGGGCCTTCTCTAAAATTTTTTTCATGATAATGTGTTTTAACATTTTTTATCCCCCTTGGGTCCAGATGCTGCAGTTTAGCAGTGGTCAATAGAGGAAAGCCCCAAAACCTTAACATTTTTATACTTGTCTTTGATAGTTTGAGGGTGAGCAGTACATGTTTTTATCACTAGAACAATTCCCTCCTCCCATGTACACTGAAGAGCCAAAATATAATAACCACCTTTTGTGACCTTTGGTCTGCAAAACAACTGCAACTTGCCTTGGCATAGATAACACAAGTTCTTGGTAGATGACTGGAGACAGGTTGTACCAAATGTCTAAGTAGTGGTCACGCAAAGTCGAGATATTCTGACATGGTAGAGTTTGAGCTCTGAGCTCCATGACATCCCAAATGTGCTCTTTCAGGATAAGACCTATCAAGTTACGTGGACAGGACATTAATTGGAATTCATCCTTATGCTATTCAAAGCAGTCCAACCCAATTCGAGCCTTGTGACATGGGGCGTTGTCCTGCTGAAAGATTCCATTTTCTGTTGAGAAGATAGATGCCATGTAAGGGTGCAGCTGATCCACAATCATGTTCAGATAAACTGCAGCTTTCATGGTCTGTTCGGCTACAACTACGGGTCCCAGAGCCACCCATGAGAACATCCCCAAAAGCATAATACCGCCACTTCCAGCCTATGTATGACCTTCTGTATAGGGATGGAGCAAGTGTTCTCCTGGAAGACGGTGTACCCTAACAGGGCCATTGACACGATGAATGAGAAATCGAGATTTATCAGACCAGGCAACTGTCATCCACTTATTCATGGTCATCTCGATGTTTTTGAGCCCACTGTAGGCATAATTGACAATGATGCTTGGTTAACGGAGGCACATGAGTGGGACATCTGCTGCACAGTCCCATATCCAACAGTGTCCATTGAACTGTGTGTTCCGAAACATTAGCACTTGGACCTACATTGTATTGAGCTGTCTGGCAAGCCACTGTCTGGTGCCAATTTTGATGTACCAAGCAGGACAGTCTTCGACTATGTATTTGTATCATTCACTTCATTTTCTTTGATGACACATAAACACCCAACACCTTAACATCTACTGGTTTCACTGTCATTTATCCACTTTACATAAATACTAATACAACGGCAGATCGTGAACAACCTATTAGTCATGTAGTTTCTTTCCGAATTCAGCCATTACAATCTGCCCTGTATCAAATTCTCTTAAATCAGCAGCCTTTCCCATCACTTGAAAAAAGTACAAGAATGCCATTCCCATTTAATAACGTGGCCTACCCGTCATCCAGATAAGTTCATTGAAAAATGGAGTGTTGGTCATATTGTTTTGGCTCGTCAGTGTATTTATCTAAATTGTTTAACCACTTTTCCGAAATATCTGAGGTTATATTTGAGTTTTTGTTGGAATCATATTCTGCAATCAGTGAATTAATACTTCTGAAACATCTTGGATTATTACTCTTTCCAATAAGTAAAGGTTTCAATTTTTCATTTCTTTCTGTATCTGTACAGTAACTCTAACTAACATTGATAGAATAAGCTGGATTTGTCAGCATTGAAGATATCTTTTGATTTGTATATTTGCATGATTTCTTTTAGTTTTTTTTTATCTTTCCATATGACACAGTCATCATCATTAACATCTTCACATTTTTCACACTTATTTTTTGCAACTAATTTAAGTTTCTTTTTGAATTTCTTTAAATACCCATTGCCTAAATGAAAATCACTGTGTCCTAAACCTTGAGCAAACTCTGTAGCTTTTTCCAGTATCAATGGTTCTGATGCCGCTACATTTTTTTTTCTCTCACTGTGCGCAGCTATTTTAACATCGTGTCATCAATGTCTTCATAAACACAAGTTTTCTTACATTTGGCACTTGGATGGTGAAATCAAAGCTTGATGAGATTTTGTCCCTTTTTTTCTCAGGATAACTGATAAACTGTTTTGCAAAAGCTGAATTTTTTGGCATTGTCTTTCTTCTTTACACTTTTATTCACTTCATCGAAAACGAACATTTTTTCTTTAAATGTTCACTTTGACATTTGTATCATTCACTTCAGAATTAACTTATTTGCAGTATAAAACCATGAAAAGCAGAAATAAAGGTAACATGCAACTGTTGCTTAATCTTAAACTGGTTTGTGAAACAGGATTGGTTGGAGAATTTTTAACAGGTGGGCAAATGCTTGAGAATCCCCCCCTGCTCACTTTTCATCCCTCATGTAGAATGGAATGTAATAATAGGTAATAAGCCACATGCTTTTTTTTAGAACCATAACTGCATGTACACGTGTGTCACAGCAAATGAATGAATAATTTTAAAGTAAAAAGAAAAATCTCAAAAAATTATCTATTCAAAAACCTCATTAAGTAGAGAGTGTACTTCACCATTTGGAGTTTTTATACAAGAAAATTGATTTCTAAGGCAGAATCCTCTGAAAAACTTTGCTAAGTAGAGAAATTTGTAAAATGTAGAGTTTGTTAAATACTACATTTTGACATATATTGGCTTGCAACATCTAGGAAACTATAAATAAGATTCCCTAACATAAAAATGACATCTCCAGACTTTCTACCAAGCAGGCCATCAATAAAAATAATACGTCTTTAGTAAAACACTTTGCCAAGCATTCACAGTCAATAACTGAATGGGATAGGGGCAAAATCATAGCCAAATGCTGATATAAAAATAGCCTCAAAATTAGAGAAGTGCTTGCAATTACTACCAATTCATGTTGCAATAGAGATCTTCTCTTTAGTCTTCCATACACCTGGATATCAATTCTGAGTATAGCAACCCTGCAGAAATCAAAAGAATTCCAACATTGATAATAAAATCATTCTTTTCAGTGTAGTTGATCAAGCAGATGGGTCGTCTGTGAAAGCTCCCGTACTTTTATTTTTGCTTAAACATGGTTTCAACTTGCCAATCTAGAGTATTTTATCTCATTTCTCACTTTATTTTGACTGTTTAGACCAATTAATTTTTAACTATATGTTTATCATTTTAATTGAGCTTGCCAGACATCTGGGTTTGACTAGGATTTTGCCATTTTGAAGAAGGTATGGTCCTGGCCAGTCTGTCATTTTGTCCCGGTTATTTGTTAAATAAAAATAAAATGTCAAATATGAATGCATTAAAAATAATTTTTAATGCCTTCCTGTAGCACTGTTCTGTATGCCCCTGTTTGCAGATGGCACCATACGCAAAGTATAATTGTTTGTTTTGCAATTTGATGCCATCTGTGAAGGGAAACTTCCATGTAATGGTCATTCCCCTAAATGCCATCCTATATTTATTTCTAGTTATATGCTCCAATTTTTACTGTCTATATCTCCTTCTTTATTATTGGTGTCTCCTACTTTATTGTTTTGATATACAGTCAAAAGTCTTTAATCTGGACTCATCGGGACTTCGTTGATTCCAAATTATCGTTTTTTCCAGATTATAGATCATCAATTTAAATCTGATAAGATGGTATGCAGAAATTATAAAATTAAAAGTATGAAGCCATAATTTATGAAATAAAGAGCAAATATGATCTAAAGGGTATCAAATTTAAAAAAAAAAAAAAAAAAAAAAAGAGCTTAATATTTATTTGTTTACTTTATTAAACATTTCTTTCAATGCGTGCATGCGTAAGGCATACATTACGCATAGCCAAAATTAGAAAATTGCAACCAGAAAACTATTTGATGTGTATTCGTGATATAACAACAAGGAATTTGATTTAAATCATATCAAAGAGGGAGTACATTGAGATGAAATACTACATTTAATAAGGAATTATAAGCCGAATAAAATGATCTGCTCTGAAGATGAGGATAGGGCTGACAGATCAACTTCCAGTTCATTGCAAGCCGCGACGTTTCGCTCTCCCTCAGAGCAGCGTGAAATTGATAAACAGATTTCGGAATGGTTAGAGAAACAAAGGATATGCCTTTATCCGTTTTTTGTAGCAATTATACTTTTTGTTTGATGGACATCGAAACATATTTTCGCTTTGTAGATTCTTTGCCAGCTCCAGAATCGGAAATTCTTTTTGACATAATCGAAAGTTCAAGCTTACTTTTATAAAATTGCTCAGTCAGTCTGCAAAACAGTCTGCAAAAAATAATAAGCCGGATCCAATTCGAAGATTAAGGAAAAACGCAATCTGCAACATTCACTGAAATAGATAATTAGATAATTTTAGCTTATACCGTTCGTTATACATTAAAAGCGCATGCATAAACCTATTATGCACATGCGTAAACACATGCACATGCAATGTGTTTACGCATGCGCAGTTTGTAGCTTTGAGGTCCGCATTATAGATCATACTGGATTATGGATGTCCCGATTAAAGACCTTTTGACTGTACTTTGTTTTTTTAATCCCAAAATGAGCGATTCAAGCAAAAGACAATCTATAATTTTAATACTGATTGGGAATAATCATATTGTTTTGCCAATTTTGAAGGTAAATGTTTCTTATGTGGCACTAGTGCTGCAGTGCTGAAAAGTATTATATTGAACATCACCTCCAGTCAATTCATGCCATTTTTAATGTGACATTCATTAAATCTGAAATAATAAAGAAGAAAATAAATTGACTAAAATCAAACCGATTTTTACTCAATTGTCAGTTTTCAATAGGCCTTTGGTAAAACATAAAAATGCCACTATTGTTTCATTCATATTTTTTCACATGCTCACAAAGAAGAAAAAGCCTTTCCAGGAGGATGAATTGTAAACACATTGCATGCAGGTATATTTAAACCAAGCAACTCGACAAACTTCTGGAAAGAAACAATGGAAATTGTTGCTTAGCATCACAAACACCATACACACTTACAATATCCATCGTATTTACATGATAATCTATTGTACAAATCTACTAGACACATACTCTTACATGCCCATGCTGTAGTGACAGACTGCGAAAAATTTGAATATAAAATGTTAAAAGAAGTATTTTTAACTGGTGCTGATTACTTATTTGAGGAGTTTTTTGATAAAAGTGAGATTATGTCAGCAATAGAAGACCTAAGTTGTCAGATAACACTATCGAAAGAATACATAATATTTCAAAAGACATCCAATTTCAGTTAAAGAGTGACTTAAAAATGTGTGATTCGTTCTCATTAGGATTTGATGAATCTACACATACATCAGACAAAAGAAGTATATTTCACATTAAAGAATTTTGTTTCTCAACCAGCTGTCAGTTTTTACGACAGCTATGAAATTTAAGATTCCTATGTTTAAAAAGTTTGTGGTAGATGCATGTAAGGCAGTTCTATTTAACATTAAAAAAATTATATTATCCAGTGACCTTGAAACTAACACCATCAGAGTACTTCTGATATTCCTTTAAGCATTGGCAGAATGCCTTTTCAGGTAACCATCAGACTGGCGATCATATTTTGGATAATTATTAATATTTTGGATTATAATATTGAGATAATTCAATCTGCCTAAGATGATGTAGACCATTTTGATAACAGAAAACACTGGAGTTATGAACTGTTTAAGAAATCTGTTAATAAGGTTATTGTTGTATGACATGGATGTGTTTTGGATTGTGGAAATCCTGATTTCTTTGTTCAAACTAATATATTGTAATAAATGGTCAAAAGCTAATTTAACTGTGTTTGCACTAGAACACTCAGTATTGTTCTAGATGAGTCACTTCACATATTCCTCCTTTAGAGATTTTGCTAATGCCTTCTGTCAGCTAAAGTCAATACTTCAAGTTTCATCCTCCTGACAAGAATTTTTTATGAATTTTTCAACAGAGTATAATTGAATTAACCTCAAAGTTATCTAACATTTTTGCTTCATTTGAAGAAATCACCTGAGTAAGTTTCCCTTAAAATTTTAATAACTTTTTTTTTTTTTTTTGTAAAAGCAACATAAAAATATATTAATAATAATTGTAAATAAGAAAAAGGGAGGCCAATTTTGTATTTCATTAGACATTTTTAAGAGCTAAAAGTAATATTATTGCACAATATAATTAGAAAAATTTGAAATACCGCTATTACATGAAATATGGCTCCCCCCCACAAATATGGCTGTTGATTATTGCAAATATCATATTTTTCTTCTATTGTAAAGTAATAATAATTGAAGCACAGACCTTTTTGTGATCTTTTCTTGTACTCTTTTCTCACTCTTGTTTGAAGGTGTATATCCAAACTGCTGTTAATTTATATAAATCCATGGAAATTTGTTTTGTTGTAAAACTACTGTTATACAGTGAAACCTTGGTTCACAAATTTAATTCCGTCCTTCCATCACAAATTTAATTCCATTCATCAATGGAACTTTTTGTAAACAGAAAGAATTTTATCCTTAGGACCTAATGTAAAATGAATTAATTCATTCCTTGCCCAGAGGTGATTGATTATTGAAACTTTATAACAGTACTTTGTGCAAATATTCATCACCCCAAACCATAGAATACCGGTGTGTGTGTGTGTGGGGGGGAGATAAATGCTATATTAGCAGATAAAACAGATGAAAACTTTGTTTAATTTTATTATACTGTAAGGAGATGGTATAAGTGGAAAATAATGAAGAAGATGTTATTGTTTAGATGTAAAATTTTTGTCCATAAAATGGTCAAGTAATTCTCATTAGGGCACATCTTTCATCTTTCCTTTAAATGTCACTCGACTCTTTAAATGACTTTCCTTTAAATGCCAGTTTAAGATTAACTTAGCTTCTGTTTCACTCAGATTTGTCACAGTGTGACTCGCTTTATCAAGATGATATCCCTATGATAAAACTCTGCACTGTGCACTGTTTTGCACAAATTTCATAGATCAGAGAATTTCATTATCATTTTTCTTCTTTTCCTTCTGAAGACATTTCTTATACAAGTGCTTTTTATTGATGCTTCTGAAAATATTGCGACTCTTTCAAATTGAGCTCATTTGTGTGATTCGTTAGTAGCTACTCCACGTCTTCATTGTTAACTTCCTAACTCATAGTTTTGTTTTGAGACACACTGTCATAGATCATAATTTCTTCTAAGCTGAGCTCATGATTTTGTAAATCACTTGCTGCCAACTTTTGCTAATGAGAGATAAGTAATGGAAAATGTTAAAGAGATTTTTCTGAAAGAACCTGAGTATTATTTATGTGGCATAGTTTACTTCAAAACACCTTTGAAACTCGTATGTTGCTGACTTGAATGTTTTTAACCCGAAACACTATTCATCATTTGAAGTGTTTTTTGTTCAGATAATTTGTTCATGAAGTAAGGCATTCATGATCTGAGGTTCAACTGTATATAATACTATTTTAAATGTAATAAATCATTATAAATTTTGATTAAAATTATTATATGGTATGAAATAATTAAGTAATGGTAAGTAATAATGCAACAATGATAACTATTGCAGGAATGGCTTTCACATGGTTCTTTCAGACCTTATTCATCACTGTTTTCCACTGTTAAGAATTATAGGTAACTTAAGAATTTAATAAAATTATACATGTAAAGAATTCTTTGTAACAACAGCTTAGAAAGAATTATATATGCAACACAATTTTAAAATTTTGATGGAGAATCATAGTTAAGTAAGGTGGAAAATTAACTATTGATAATGGTGGAATAATTGTGTATTGATAATGGTATGTTAGATGCACTCCTTCTTTTATATAAATTTTTAGACAGAATTTTATGAGGATTGGTTTATTTTTGCTTTTAGTTAATCTATTTTATTTTTAGTAGAATTTTAATAATAATTAATTTTTTAAAGTAATTTTTATTGGTATATTTTAATTATATAAATTTTTATGCCTACAGTATTTTGCCTCATCTGCATATCAACCTGTGCATAGAGAGGGCAAACAACACAAGTACCTTGTACCTTCATTTCCTTCAGGTACTGGGCAATCAAATCACTTATATCGACAGTCATCTTATGGTACTTATCCTGGCAGAGTACTTAACAAAGTTAAAGCATCTGCTAATAAGACAGCAGAAAATCCAAAGCAGTCTTCACAGTGCATGTATTTAGGTCCCAGCTTTGCTCACAGTACAAATGAGGATTCAAACTTACCTAATACATTGCAGGTAGTGCAAGATTTAGAAAGGAAGGGTTATGATCTACCTCTACCTGAGAAAGAATTATATGAGGGTGGATGCTTCAGTGAAGATGAAGGACTTTATCATCACAAGGAACTGAGAAACAATGAATTGTGTAATTTGCAGCCACCAAAATTAAAAGATACAGTTGCTAATTTTTATTATAGTCTCTGTCATGATCAACCAACGTCAGTTTTATCTTTCTCATCTGAAGAGAACTTGAACTATCCTATTTACATGTCAGATTTTGATGATATAGTACACTGTGATAACATGGAAGATTCAAGGAATAACCCGGACTCATTACAGGGAACTGATGGGGCAATATTGCCCAATCCTAATAGGTACCCATATCAGTGTGATAGGCCTCGATACTCCGGTGGAAATCCAGCCTGTGATAGGATCAGCGACTCTAGTTGCTTGTGTGTGTCAGATCTTCAAATGCCATCTTATTGGAGAAGTAACAAAATGTCAAATACAAAAGATATATCACAAGAATTTTCTACTGATCATAGTTTGAATCACTCTGCTACAATCTGCCATCATTCAGGTGAGAGTAATTCATTGCCCTGTGATTTCAATTTCACCGATAACCAAGAAACACCATCCATAAATTTAGTTGCTCAACGGCGTCACCAATTTGAATCTGGAAATTTGTTAGCTGAATCAATGGAACGAATGAAGCTTTATCGAAGTGAACTATCTCGCATGTCTAAGCCAAATCAAGTACGCATTGTGTCTTCTCGTGCAGCGGAGTTTGAAAATAAATCACAAATGTCTGTGGTGTCTCCTACTCGTAACCACAAACAAGAAGCCTGTGTTGATAAATTGAATGAAACAACAGTGCACGAAGAAAAATACGCTCAGAATGAAGAGTCAAATAAGTATGTTTATGATTTGTCTCTGGATCATCAAAATAGCAATAAGATGCAGCCTGAGGATTCGGTACATGAAAGTGATCCAAATATTTATGCAAATGTAACTGGTAAGTATCATATATGGTTTTTCATATATTTTTTCTTGGAGTTGCTGTATTAACAATAAAATTAATTTTGAACACTAACTGATTTTATATGGTTGCATTTTTTAGAATTTTGGATGCTTTCTGATTATTCACAACCCTGCCGTAAAGTCATGAAAAAGTATTCGTGAGCAAAGCACTATGTTGTCAAAATAATTATGTAGTGACCCAACATATCACTAAACAATTATTTATGTGGCAGTCCAGGAATGCATCTTGTTTGTTTCTATTTTGGTCAGTATGCAATCCTGATATTGTATGGATGCCAAAGTTGTGAAAGTCTGTGATTTTTTTTGTGAAAACAAATGGCTGTGTTTTAGAGAACAGCAATGAAAGGGGGAAAAAGGATCCCCCCAAAAGTAAATATTTCGTTACTGATATTTCTTGCTTTTTAAATTTTATTAACTAACTGCTCTTGCGTGGAATTCTTTGTTTGCCGCCATTCTGAAAATGGTGGTTACTTTTTGAATATAAACTGGCAGAAAAATTAGTGGTCATTAAGTTTGCAAATGTTATGCTAAGTTAGCAATGAATTTCTGACTTTTAGGTTGAGGGTACAGATAATCAGAAAGTACTGAATTTTCTTCTAGATGGATGCCAAATTTGTGCAAGTCATTTATCATTACATTTGAAACTTTTGCTTACTAATATGCAGGTGTTTATTTTTATGAGAATCAACACCACAGCACTAAGATATTTTTCAAGAACACTTTTTAGTATTAATCATACACTGGTTATCATAAATTAAGGAAAAATCACAAAAATCACGATTACTGAAAAAGTTACATGTAGAATTTTATGAAACTTATCCACAATATACAACATATAGTAAGGTATCAAATAACATAAAAATAAATTACCAGACAATTATGGTAAAATAGAAATTAGCACATGTATAAAATGAACAAATCGAAGGTGTCAGTTTGCTAAGGAAAAAGTACCTTCAATATGGAATAATATGGTCGCCTCTAAAAGCAGTACAGCACATACAGCGATGCATGATGCTTTCAATTATGCGGCCTATCAGTTCCATAGGAAGCGAAAGTCATTGTTCTTGCAAAACAGTTGCAATCGCGGCAAGGGTCTGAGGGGGCGTATTGAGAGCAGCTCTCTCTAAAGCATCCAAAGACATGGAGGTCTGTGCGTCCACCCAAAGAGATGCCACCCCAAACACAGACACTGCCTATTCCCCATGCATCTTTTTAACAAATGTTTGACAGATGATAACTGGTTCCAGGTTCTCTCATATCAAATAACGCCTACTATCGCTTTCTAGACTAAACAAGGACTCATCCGTAAAGAGCCGTCCGCCCTCCACTGATCAGGCGTCCAGTGGACATGTTGTCGTGCCTACTGCAAACGGTCCCTCCTATGGCGTGACATGAGCGGCATGCAAATGGCTGGTCATCTTGCATACAGACCACCTTCGTGCACAGTTGATGTTGACACCAACCTTCCGGTGGCTGCAGCAAGGGAGGATCTAAAAAGAGTCGGAGTAGCGGTTCTATTCTTGCGTGCACATAATGTTAAATATCGGTCATCATCGCTCGTCGTAGCAGTTGGCTGTCCTTGGCTGAACCTCCTAGATGCCGAATCTGTGGTTTGAATCGCCACCAAAGTCTATGAACCACGGACTATGACTCACATTTAGCCATCTGGCCACTTCTGTTTGACTTTATCCTGCCTCTAATCTCCCAATGGCTTTCTATCGTAGTTCTGCAGGCAAATGATGCCTGGAGATCTTTGTTATGAATTGGCTATCTCACATTTCTGATGTCACTATCACAGTAAAATATGTGGGCTTGCTCTCAAACATGGACTTTTATTCTCCTCGCAGATGACGTATTCCAAGTGCAGCGCCACTTATTTGCATATTGAAGTTTTACTCAGCTACTCTTACTTGGCAACCTATTCAAATTTTACATGGTTTGGCTTATTTTTGAGGGAGTTATCGCTATTTTTGTGATGTTTCCTTAATTTATGATAATCAGCATATATATATATATATTCAAAAAAATTTGTTATGATAACCTTTAAGTTCATACACATGCATCTTGAAACATGTCCAGACAATTAAGGTAGTATATGTATTGAGAGAAAAGTTAAGAGTATACAGTAGTAGAATCATTTTGGAATTACAATCCAGAAAATACTGCTTACTAATACCTTTTGAGGAAACTTTAGAGTTTTGATGTCAAATCCTTTGCTGCTTGATAGTTAATATAATTATATAACTCCTGAATGATTTTTTTACAATTTTGTTGTGTTCTTTGATGGTAAAATCTTGATGTGAGCAGTATACTGAAATGCGTGTTGAGTTTAAAAAATCCTTTTTTCATGTATCGCTATTAATTTTTTATCTTATGGACAAAAATCATATACAGTCAAAAGTAGTTAATCCGGACTCGTCGGGACTTCAGCGATTCCGGATTATTGATTTTTCCGGATTATAGATCATCAGTTTAAATCTCGTAAGATGGCATGCAGAAATTCTAAAATTAAAAATATGAAACCGCAATTTATGAAATAAAGAACAATTATGATCTAAAGGGTATCAAAATTTACAAAAAAAAGCTTAATATTTATTTGTTTACCGTATTAAACATTTCTTTCAATGTAAGTTGTTTAAGTTGCTTCTTTTTATGTGATAATACTTTCTCTTTAATTCTATAAACAGACATAATTTCTTGTTCAGTTACAAAGTTCCACTGTTCAAGTCCCGTAATTGCTGTGTCGAAAATACCGACTAACTTGCCAAACGAAATTTTTTTGTTTTCACTAACCTCTCTGTCACCTTCTTCATGTCTTTATCCATTTTTTGCAGCAATTCCACTTTTTGTTTGATGAACATCGAAACATACTTTCGTTTTGTAGATCCTTTGGGAGCTCCAGCATCGGAAATTCTATTTGACATAATCGAAAGTTCGTGTTTACTTTTATAAAATTGCTCTTACAGTCTGCAAAAAATAATAAGCCGGATCCAATTCGAAGATTAAGGAACAACACAATAATCAACATTAACTGAAATAGATAATTAGATAATTTTAGCTTATACATAAAACGCGCACGCGAGAACATATTCTGCGCTTGTGCACATGCAATATGCGCAGTCGTAAAGGTCTTGCACGCACGCGTAAACGCCTATGCACATGTGTCAACACGGCGCATGCGCAGAAAGTTTGTAGCTTTGAGGTCCAGATTATAGATCATTCCGGATTATGGGTGTCTGAATTAACGACCATTTAGCACGTATCTTTCATTTTATATTTTTTTATCTTTTCTTCAAAATATTTTTGCTTTGGTTTTATTTAGAAATTATAATTCACAGACTATTAAAATAAGTAATAAAATATGCTATAACTAAACCCATTTATAAGAAAATCATTAGATGATATCAGAATATGTTACACCAGTAAGTTCATTTTAAAAAATATACTTAAAATATAAAAAGACAAGAGTGTATTTTTTGTTTCCTAAAATTTATATTTAAAAAAAATTGAATTGAGCTTTATATTTGGCTTTAATAACCCATTAAAATTAAATTTTCTAATTGTCAGTATTTTTTACATTTAACAGTTGTAATAAGTAATATTTAGGTAACAGTTAAGTAACTGTATTTAAACTTCGTGCACGTATGGCCTGTTCATGTGCTGAAAAGTGATTATAGAGAGATACCAATTTGTGATCATTACTAGTTGCTGGGGTTGTTTTATTTCCCTCCTAAGATCTTTTAAGTTTTTGTATTACACTCTACTTTTAATTCTTTTGTTTGTTTTGAGTATTTGATTGTTTAACCCTCTTGGCATTATGACCAGCTTTATCCGGTCATCAGAAGTTTTGCAACTTGGCATATATTAGCTTATATTTTAAGATATTTTGCTTTCTTATTTTCTATAATAATGTAAATATCATCTTAATGAATGTAAGTGTATGAAAATACAAACTAAAATAAGTAATTATACAAACTCAATTGATACATGCTGTTTAAAAACCAGTCTTCACCACGGATCTAAAATCCTGTGCTGCTCAGAGTGTTAACGAAAATTTTTGAATTGTATAGTTTGTTGTGAATTTATATAAACAATTATTTCCCCAGAATAGTGGGCATTATAAATAATGCTAAAAGTTCATTGAAAATACAATTATGAACTTAAAAGGAACTTTCTGTTTAAGTTTCATTTTTTTTTTTTAACTCGGTCATTCTTATAGTATAAAATGATTTGTATCTCACATTTTAAGTTTTTTATTGCATGTGCTATATCTTTTATGTCTTATAGTTATTAAGTAAATAACTTAATGAAATAAAATGTGTTGCATATATACTGGTACTTTTCTTTAAAGCCATACAATGTGGTACTTTTATGTTTTGGCTTATTTCCTTGGGGCCAGGAGTCTCCATTTTTTTTTTGGCTTCTTTTGTAGTGATAATTGTGTTTATAACCATTGCTCTCATGACCACATTTTTAATATTATCTTTTTTTTTTTTTTTTTTTTTTTTTTGCTGCAAGGGATTTCACATCTTGCAATTTGTCAAGAGATGAAGCAAGGACTTTAAGAAAGAGAATTAGTTCTTTGAAAAGAAAGACTGGATTCAAATATTCAATCCCTCACACTCAATCACTCACACTGAATCTTATGAAATTAAAATATGACTTGAAGGTGAAATGACTATGTACCCTTTGCTCATGCCAAGAAGAGAAAAGTTTCTGAATATAAATAGGGTTTATTCAATTACACATTCCTATCACTGCCGTGTGATTTATTTATTTATGATATCAGGAGTTAATTTCTATTGAGTTTTGTGAATTGTAGCTTCCTGCAAATGAACGACAATACAGTGGTTGATTAGAATAATTGCATAATAAATATGCCAATTCCTTGTTATCTTGTCTTAAAATGCAACAAAATTATGAGAATTGATAAAGACGTATTAAAAAAAAGTAGCCTTGGAGAGAAATACAGTAGGTGTTTTAGAGGATTTCGTTGTGAAGTTAGAGAATGTACACTGCTCAAAAAAAAAAAAAAAAAAAAAAAAAAGGACAGTGCTATATCTTCCGTTCTACTGGGCCGATTGAAAAAATTCAAACTGCGTTTTTCCTGTCTCGAAAGCGCGACTTAGGATATATATTAGATTTATATATAGCACTATTCTAAAATAGGTATTTTGACACAAAATCGGACTTTTTCTGAAATGACATGCCAATTTTTTTACATATTTCGATTCTACAACTCAAATTATGCCATAACTACCAATTTTTGTTTTGTAAAAATCGTACAAGTAGTTTTTTTAAAAAATTTGCTCTCAAAATTTTAGCTCCTCAATGTTAATTGAATTTGGCAAATATTTATTTATTATTCTCTTTTTTTATTAAACTTTTTTGATTTTTTCTCTCACATTTCGAAATTTAGGTTCATTCCAAATAAAATTTACCCATTTTTTGTGTTCTATTTTTTAAATTCCTATTTTTAAATAATTTTTATAAATTTTTCGAAAAACATTTTGAATTATGACCTATAAAATTTTTACCATCATCTTAAAGTAGGTGTATTTTTAAGCATGTCTGCAAAAAATTAGAATTTTTTATTCAAAATTTTCTAAGATATACACGAATTTACATATTTTCGCGTTTTGAAATTTGGCATCTTTTTTTTGAGCAATAATAATGCCAAATGTGGTCTATGGATTTTTGTTACAGTGAATTGCCACAGCTATTTTTAACCTTAAATTTCAAGTAAAATTCTAGGGAGATATAATTATATGACATTTTTTCCCTCAATGATGCGTAATAAATATTTATTAATACTATATGAAAAGATATTTTTTTTAAATTATAGATGATATTATTCAAATTTTTAACTATTTTTTTTTCAATTTCTCTCTTTTTTTTTTAACAAAATAAATAAATAAATAAACAGTAAATTTTTGAAAGAGTAAATTTTTACCTTCGGTGTTAAATCGTCTGCTACTTTACTTCGTTTAAATCGAATTGTCTAAAACTGAGAATTTTCGTTTGATGTTTATTTGAATTTTATGACATTAACTGCATAATTTATTTCTAAACAAACTGCTGCTTTTGAAGTGGCTGAAAGAGCGGCTGATGCTATCATCCACATTTTTAAAGCACAGTATATTTTTATAGAAACATAAGATTTAGAATAATCATTTTTATAAAAGTCAAATTATGATATAAACATACAACCCTCTAGAGGCTGAATTAATGGAAGTTCAATGGTTATGTAGAAATGATCTGCAGCTACTTAATGGCTGAATAAGGCAGCAGGTTCTGTGGACAAGTAAGAATACTTATATAAAAGACACACAGCATTCTGGATTCAATTAACAACGAGGATACGATGTTTATTAAATGAATTTAAGAAGTTTTAAAACATAAAAAATCAACTCATTTTTTATCCTAAAATGTATTTTTTGTGCGTAGCGTATTTCATTATATCCTTAAATTCTAATTTAGAATGTAATTGTCAAGAACTGAATCCTAAATTATCAGTAATATAATAAGTAATTATTACGGTTATTAATAAATCCTTCTTATAAAATAATTGCAGATATTTCAAAAAACTTTCTGTCTGAATGCAAATATTTTTAATTTTATATTAATCAAGATTGCACACGATATTATTTATTTGCACTTCAATTCTTACCGTCAGTTCTAGTAGAAGTTACAAATCAATTATATTTAATTAAGGATTAGATTGGATTATTTAATTATGGCAAAGCACTTGAGGGTTATTTGCCTAAAGGGAGGTATTCCTTCGTGGAGGACGTTTTAAGGGAAACGGGCTCGTATACACGTTACACATGGGGAAAACCATGAAAACGCCCATGCAGCCAGCCCATTCGCGGGATTCGAACCTCAGTCCGAACTACCAGTGTTCAGCGTCTTTACCGCTCGGCCGCTGCTGGGCTATTTAATTAAGGAATGACCATCAAAGTTTAGAAACAGCTTACCGTAACAGCAATTCAATTATTGGCGCCGTATCTTTCATGTTACTTCTGACTGGCAAGCTACATGATTTTTAATGAGTATTCGGGTTTTGCTAGTAACTTCACTTGGAAATCACGCTTAAACTAGGTTAGTTGGTTATTTGAACATAGGAAAGAACATGGGAGCTATTTGATTAAAGATGCTTTCATAGATAACCTTTGTAAAGAGAACCTACAGAACTACGAAAACCAAGCCATGCAAGCCTGGGTTAGACTTCGCAACAAACAATTTTAGTTTTTAACAATCTTCAAATGCTAGGCAACTGGTGAGGCTCCAATTAAATCTCCAATTTAATATTTTATTTGTAAATATTAAAATAAAGTTGTATTCTTAGACACAAAAAGCAGAATTTAAGTTTTGTTAACTCGTTAGTAAACTAACCAAGCCGTAGTGCAAATGAATATTCAAGTTTCTTTTGCAATAATTGTATTCACTTAATATTCTTGGAATATGAGCTTAAGAAGGAACGTTCTCGGAGATTAAAGAAGTGTTTAAATCCAGTGATATTAGGTTTGTCTTACAAGCTCAGGATCAAAAACGATTCTGCAATTGCCCGAGTAGTTGACTTGTAAATGGCTGTGAATTAAGCAGATGACTTTTAATCTTACGTTTTCAGTCAGAAAACGTATTCCAAATGTTTTATATTGCATGACAATGCATCTTTTCATTATCAATAACCAGTCGGAGAACCGCTTGTGTTCGAAAATAAGTATGTGTACTCAATCGTCCTGCATGTTCTTCAAATTTGTCTTCTTGTGATTTTTTTTCTTTCCCAAAAACTAAAGTTGCCTCTCAAAGGAAAGTTTTTTGACATTGAAGAGACAAAAGGAGTATGACATCTACTTTTAGAGGCATGTCACAAACAGACAAGCCTTATCTTCCATTACATGTTGTGAATTCAGACAAAAAGTTGGATCAGTGTAAATTCTATAATCTATTTTTATTACACTCTGATTACTTTATTAACATACCAGTGAATATATACTAAATCTTTTACTTTAGCTTAAGTAATTCGGAATTTTTGACGGAATTGTTGTCAGAACTAGGACTTAGTAGATAAGTTAAACTAAATATTTCGATAACCCAATAAATTCAAGGTCGAAGTTTCAATATTTTATTTTTGGAGAGAGGGGAAATTTTTTCAGTTTTGGTCCATTATCCTAAGTATATTTGCTTCGATTCTTTATTTTTCCATAAAAGCGAAACATTTACGCAAAAAGACTGATAAAGGCTCTGACGAAATACTTCGTGAAGAACTTTCTAACGGAAACCAGCTGTCATACACGGTACACATGAGAAAATCCACGAAAACGCCCATGCAACCAGCCCGTTTACTGGGATTCGACCCCGGAGTGAACTACCAGTGTTTAGCAACTTTACCGTTCGGCCGTTTGTGGGCCTTTATGAAATCGAAAGCGATAACTTTATTTAAAATGATTGTCAGAAATACTAAGATATTTCGAAAAGTTGGATGCTTTTTAATATACTTGCAGAATGCCTAAAGAAAAAGAACAAGAATAAAGTAGAATGCCTGAAGAAAAAGAGAAGAAAAAATAAAATTTTTGCGTAAAATTTAGTATTTGTATTTTTTTAAATTTAAAACCTTTCTTTCTTTTTCTTTTTAATCTTATGATATTTGATTCTTGGGATTTCAAAAATAAAATATTTGACTAAAATATGAATAACATTTTAAGAAACCAAATGTAGGATAAAATTGTGTAAAGCAATGGGTACAATGATAAAACTGTTTAAAGCAGTGTATGCAAGTCATCCTAAGTTAAAATGTTGGTTATACATCTCTCTTATTTATATATATATTTTCTGAACGGAACATTGAAAGGCGTGTTAACTGTGCTTTACTGTATTTTCTCTTTTAATATACGCAGTTTTCAAACGCATCGTAGTCTGGGTTACAAAGAAACGCAATTCAAATAAATAAAATCAAATTCTGGAAAATTTATATTAGTAAATATATTTAAAATGCTCAGTTCGAAGGAATAAATAGAAAATTTTAAAACAATTATCTGAAGAGACAATGCAACACAAACAATTAAAATAAAAGTATAAAAATTTAAAAATTACCTAAAATAATAACTATGACAAAATATATATAGAAAGAAAACTATTTGGGGGAAAAAAAAAATAACATAATAATGCACCTTTATTTACGCAGTTCGAATAGGTAAATAGAAATTTTTAAAAACAGTTATTCGAAAAAAAAAAAAAAAAACATGCAACTTAAACAATTAAAATGAAATTCGAAAAAGGAAAAAATGTACTTAAAATAATAAGTTATAATTAAAAATACGCAATATAAAGAATATTATTTGGAAAAAAGGAACGATGGTGACTTTTTTTCCCGCTCCTGTACAATGGAAGGGAAAGGAAACTAGGTTGCCAAGTGAACTATTATTAGGCGCAACCTGAAAAAAAAGTGCCAACATAAATTTGTGAATTTCTCCGTAAATTTCGCCTCCAAATTTTTACAAAATTTAACATAATTAGGCGTAATTTGAGTTGTAGGAATCGAAATATATATATAAAAAATTGGTATATTATTTCAGAAAAAGTCCGATTTTGTGTCAAAATACCTATTTTAGAATAGTGCTATATATAAATCTAATATATATCCTAAGTCGCACTTTCGAGACATGAAGAACGCAATTTGAATTTTGTCAATCGGCCCAGTAGAACGGGAGATATAGCACTGTCCCATTTTTTTTTTGAGCAGTGTACCTTAGTTTTGTCTAGATTGAACCAAAGGTGTGAGGAAATGAAATAAGTCAAAATGCACCAATATGGTACCAAAAATATATGGTATGGCTTTACTGAAAAATACCTACATATTATTATATGAAATATATTACCCTTATAGCTGAAGACATTTTAACTCCAGGTGGACCTGGTGTTGTACATCGCAGGAAGACGGTTCCAGGTAATTTTGTTTTATTTTTAAATAGTTGGCATGTAATTGATTATTACCTTTTCTGACCTATGATAATAATTTAAGAAATAATCAAAAACTTTTGTAATTGACTGTGCTTTATTTAAAAGTTAATTATTATTAAAAGGAATTTCAAAAATAATGAATATTTGCTTTATAAATTATGTTATATAATAAATAATTATATTTTATATATTTAATTACATTTTTAAATTATTAAAATTTGGCTGTACAAAAAAACCCTTATTAATTTTGCATCTGAGTAATAGAATCATTTTATCTGAAAAAGAATTCAAAACAAAGGAATGAAGGTCACATAATTACTCTATAGTATAATAGGCTTTGAACTGCCATAAACACAGTTGTAGTGATGAGTATGCTAGGTATTCTGGTATATAAATTTTCAAATTTGCTGATCAGTTCTGCTGTAGCAATGCATACAGCAATTTTTTTGGGGGGTTGAGTGTGTGTGTGTGCATGCAAAGCACACTACAAAGGCTTTTGTTCTAAATTAGGTAGCTTTGATGATCTTTGTCACAGCTAAATACTTATCTTCTAAGCCTGTGCCATTTATATATTTTCAGAGTGAAGCCAAAAATTGTTAATTTTTTTAAAAGCCATCTTTCCAACATTGTTTTTAATGTGTATAATTCAAAGACCGATTTCTGTGATATCTGTGCATGTCCTTTAACAATTTCAAGATAACTAATTCTGAATATACTAAATCTCCTCCTCCCAATTTTAATGATGAATTTTTTATTTAGTGCATCTTTGATATATAAATATCCATTTTATGAGCCATCGTACATATATATAGAGATGAATATTTTCTACTTTTTCATGAGTATATTAATAAAAATTTATGATACTTTCAAAGAGGAAAAAAAAATTGAGAAGTTTAATCATTGCAAATTCTGCACCTGAATAATAAAATTAATCTATTTTCTATGGCCCTTGTTCTTGTTTAAGAGTAAAATAAATATGAACTTTATTTTCAAAGACTCCTGTGTTTTCCCCACTTACATATATATTGGTGCTTTTTTTTCTTAAAATGATGTTATATCCCATGTTTCTGAAGGAAGATATTTGTCAGTAAAATATGCTAAAGCAGAAGAACGTTTTTGTTCCATTTTTGCTTGTACTTTTTTAATGGAAAACACTGATCTGTGAATCCATATGCATAGTTTAAACATCAGAGGCTTCAGAGGCAGTCTTTACTTTTTATTGTGTTACATAAATAAATTTAAATTATTTTATTTTCAAAGTATATTTTTTAAAATGTTGGTAAACATTTTTTAGTGTCTTCAGATCAGGATGAGTGTCATATTGTTCGCCGAATTTCTTATCTTCGTGCAACTGCGAATGAAAGAATGAATGTTGAATCAGATCTGAGTGAAGAGGATGAAACTTCTGATGCATCTAGGTATTATTTTTTATTTGGATAACAATAGTCTCTTACACATTTTACTTCTGTGATCTTAGATTTAATTTTGTTTGTTTGTTTTGTTTTAGTCCAAATAAAGAATATCGCATTCAGAAATTGAAATCTTTCTTTGGAGAAAAGGTAAATTTCATTACAGAAGTGTAATATTTAAATATGTAGTATTAGAACAATTTTTCATATATGCATACTTCTTTGGAGACTTCCAGGGAAGATCTTGAAACTTCTGGAAATTTAATCAATAATTCTTTTACAGTGAACCTTCGATTTTCATTAACCACTTGGGTCTAACAATGTCGTCTGTAGTGACAGACTTGCATCCTTAACCCCCTTCATCATGCACATCAGTTCGGCCATCTTTAAACTTTCAGCACCATTTACGAAAAATGCCAACACTTATAAAGCTGTCTCTATACCTCGACTCATATTTCAATGAATTTCCGCTGCACTGTTCCCTTCTGCCTGCAAGGAATTAATAACAGTTCGCAATTCACATTTGTCAAGAAAATCGATGGTGACAGCCATGTTTACATGACTGTAACTCAACAGGAAATGGTGTGTTGAACTCGCCATTGACAGAGCATGTAGAAGGGGAAGATGCACAGTTGCCCACTATGCACACCAACCACCAGCTGCATGGCTGGCCATCATACTGAGCGATCAGAGGTTTAAAAAAAAAAAAAAATCCTTGTATAATACTACTAGCTGGGGTACCCTGCTTTCTTTGCTCAGGGAGTTGATATGAGATTGAGTGGTAGTTGGAATAAAAGGATAAACTTAAAATTATAAGAGGTAAAATTTTTCTTATTGAAAACATATTCTAACTTTTTACAATATTTGTTTATAAACAACATTTTTCATTTTATTATCCATGGTATATATGTACAACTTTCCCGAATTTCTTACTTGATACGCATAACTGACCATGAGAAAAGCAGGAGTCTTTGAGGTTGATGCTGCAATGTTTTAAAGTTTGTTTTTGCACTTTGTTAATTGTAAAACTATAGGCTAATTTGATTGGAAATTGCAGTTTTTTAAATTGGAATGACGCTTAAGTAGATATCAGTGGTATTATGGGAATAAATACTGTGTGTCTCTTCTCCTTTCCAGTTGTAAGTTTGACTGCAATGGTGTTATTCGATATCTGTTTGAAGATCATCCTTGTTCCATTACATAGTTTTGGTGAGTTGAGATTTCTGAGTAGTATCATCGGAGATCATATTTTCAATCAAAGGCAGTGCAGTGGCATTCCTGGTACTTGCAAAGAGTTTAAAAATTCTGGTAGGGAAGTTAACACTTTCTTCAATGTTTACAATCATGTCCATCGATTTATATATTCTCTCTTTACTGGGAGTTTTCTTTTGAATATTAAAGTTGATATCGTCGACAATATTATTTTTAGTTGCCAAAATTGCTCTTTGAAATAGCCACTTCTGATTGTTTATAGTTGGGAACAATGTTTGGATAAATTTGGTTGTTTTCGGTAGTGGCTGTGTGGCAGAAATCACTGTTGAGTTCAATGAGGCTGGTCGTCTGGTCAGTAAGATATGTGCTTTCGTCTATTAGTGAAGAGTTTTGAGCAAAATGTGCTGTTTTATCTTTTGATAGTTCATGTCTCATATTTTCGATTAGTTACAGTATTTGTATGTATGGTCAGAGATGTGATTTTTTTTAAGCATGCATTGATTTCATCTGCTAGTTTTGACTTTGGAATAACTGCAAGCATCTGTTGAAAAAATAACTACATGAGAGTATGAGTAGAGCTCCTCCCATCACTTTAGAGTTTCTTTGCAAGTCTTGTAATGTGCTGTCCATTGCTTCAGGTGATTTTTGTATGTGGCATTGTGCATTCGTCCCAGAAGATAATTTTAGCTTGTTTTAGGAGTTCACCCCGTTCAGATGCTCTTGAGATTTTACATACCAGGAATTGTTCTTCAGCTATATGTAACCGTAATTGTAGGGTGGAATATGCAGTTCATTGTCTGTCCATAAGTGTAGTGGCAATGCTGGATGATGCCAGTGCAAGTGCGATGGGTTGTTTAGCACGAATTTTCTGCCAGCAATAGATTTATTAGAAACATCTTACTGGTGCCGCCTGGTGCGTCCAAGAGGGCTCTAGCTCCAGTTCTTATATCTTCAAAAGCACGCCCTTCAGGTAAAATCGGGAACTTTCTTTGTGGATGACGCATAGAGGGCTACCGCATCATATAACTCCCTTGATCGTACTGGGGCTCATTTTTGAGTTTTAGTCGCATGCACACTGTACACTTTTATAATATATATTGATTATTTATATTTCAAAAAATATATTCCTTGTTTATTAACTCAAGTTATTAATAATTATCATTTCTGGAAGATTAACGTGATGCAATCAATAATAAAAAAATTTAATAGCCAAATATCTGTATCTCTTTCTCTACATATGTATATTTATATAAAAATCCAGACTTTTATATTTTCTTAAATTGACATATTCCTCTTCCCTCAAGTGTAACATAAATTTACTGATGTTAGTAATGGAAAATTGTGGAATTTTATGAGTGACCTCTTTGTATGCTTTAGATTAAAAATCTTCAAATATCAGATTGTTAGAGGTCTTTTTCTGGATTCAGTTTTTAGATTTAGTTTTAACATGTTACATGAATTTGTGATCTGAATTTGCTTTGCTAGTGTAATTAAAATTTAGCAAAATAAAAAAGTTTTTGGTTATTGACTTTATAGTTAAAAAATAGTTCCAGTAAAATTTTATAAAGTATATTTTAAAAGATAAATCTTCTTGTAACTTTTAAATATAAGGAACTCTTTTTAAATTTCGATTAACATGTATTATAAAGGGTTTAATAATAATAAAATCATGGCTGATCTGCTGGAATATTTGATTTTGATATTATATATTATACAAGTTGTTCATTTTAATGAATCATAGATATGCTATGAATAATATAAAAATTATAATTATGAATACAACTTTAATTAAAATTCAAACAAGAATTCACTTTTCTGCAGCATTTTTAAGTTCTCAGTTTGGTAGCATAATTTTTGGTTTGCGTTCACACTTACCATTCTCGGGAAAGGAAATTGTATGTAGTATTAAACAGGTTAAAAATAATTGTATATTTAATTTTTCCTCCCAACAGACTCCTAAAGTTAAACAGGCTTTAGTCCCTGTTGAGGCAAATGACTCTGATGTAAGCTGTAGTCATGAACCTCAAGAGGAACAACAGAAGTCAGTCTACGGCTGGGTTATTTGTAAAGTTGTATCTTTAGAAGGAAAGGTAATAGAAATTTAATGTTTTCATTTTTTACTGTAAAATTTTTGCCTAATTTAAATTTTATAACATTTTAATGGCAGAGAACCACCATGAAAGTTCTTACATTATCTATGCTTTAGCAACTATTGGTCATAAATATGTTCTTCCAGTGAAAAATATTTTAAATGAAGCAAATGATCACATTGCGGTATTTTTAAATTTTAAAAACCAGTTTTCTAAAAGCTGAGAGATAACTTACTTTATGATCTCCTAATCTTAATTATAGTTTTAGTTATATTTAAGGAATGTTTATTCTGACTGTAAAAAGTAAAACAAAAAAATTTGGCTTCCTTTTGACAAAAATTAACCGAGATATTCACTTTAAAGTTTGAGATTTTTTAGATTTTCCAGTGCTGAAAAATTTTATTGCTTTCCTTGAGGAATCAGTTAAAAATGTATTAGAATAATTTGATATTTTTCTGCTACAGCTGTAGCACAAGGAAATTTTTGGATATTATATCCCTCATCCAAGAGACATTGCCAAACTATTCTTGTAGTTTTTATGCATAAATTTGAGACACGAATCTTGCTAAATTCCATATTTATTAATCTCTTAGCAGAAAGAAAGTTCATAAAATTTCTGGGTTTGGGGAGAACAGTTATTCCTTTATTTGCTAAGGAATCTGCACTCTCATTTTATTCTATTCCACAATGAGCCAGCACCCACTCTAATGCTATTGAGTCTCTAAGAGTATTCAAGTTACATTTGCACTCATAAATACATTTGGAGTTACGAGTTTGTGGCTGTTACAAACTTGAAGGATTGACCCAGAATTCAGAAGAATGCTGGCTTAGGATAAGATGTTTTATGACAGCAAAGCTCTCATAAGGCCATATGAATTGCTAATGGTTTCCTATCAAATTTAATAGTGATAACACCCAGTTGTTTATAAAAGGAAAAAGTAATCTATGCATAACAGCTGCAGTGTTGATGCCCCTGTCCCTCACTGAACTGTCAGTATGTGACTGAATACACTGATTCTTGGGAAAACAGTTTTCAGTGGTTTACCAGTGTAACTAAACATGTTATGAAGCCACACATTACTTATTTGTTGACTTTTAAACAAGGTCAACATTCACTCTGACTTAATGAAATAAAATATTCTAGGTTGATATGCTGAAACCACATTTAAACATTAGTAAAATAGTGTTTGTTATTAATGTTTAAACATGGTTTTAGCATGTCTATATAGCACATTTTATTTTGTCTTGTGTGCTTTTTAATTCTTTAGCATTCACTTAGAGACTACACCATGGTCTGATTAATAGATCGTACTGTTCAGCAACAATATCATCTTAAAAAAAAAAACCTGACCTTTTTAAATCCTGGCTGGGTTTTTAAGCTTCTGGAATTTTTGGAGTTTGTAACAAAATCACCAGACATTTTCAAATTTCATGTTCAACTAAGGTTAGTTTAGTTAGTGGTCTCATGATAGAAATAGGAAGAGTCTTAACTGCTCTGTAACAAAGTCACCAGACATTTTCAAATTTCATGATCAACTAAGGTTAGTTTAGTTAGCGGTCTCATGATAGAAATAGGAAGAGTCTTAACTGCTCCAAGCTGTTGATAGGTTTTTCCTGAAGGTATGTTCAGAATTTCATTACAGAAGCTTAAACATCTCATAAATATTAATATCCACTAGCAACCAAGCAGTAAAGTCACTGAACACTGGTAGTTCCAGCTTGGGTTCGATTCCAAGCAAATGGGCATTTTTGTTGTTTTTCCAATTGGTAACATGTAAATCAGCCAGTTTCCCTCAGAAAGTCTTCCATGAAGGCATCCCTTCCCTTACGCAGATAACCTGTGCGTGCTTTGATATAATTAAATAAACCAAACCATAAATAAGAATAAGAGTGTGTCTATTACTACCCCACTTATAACCAGTTAACATTTTCAAATTGGTAGTCTCCATTTCACTTTCTTCCTAACAAGAGCTTTAACCGCTTGCCTGATTATCCTGAGTTATCTCGGGGTCCTATATATTGCAATTAATTATTATCCCGAGAAAACTCGGGCGAAGCAGAATTTGTTAGTACGATTTCTTTTATCACGGTTTTACTCGGTCTGGAGGAAATGAAAGGAAATATTTAGCTTTGATTGGCAGTTTGCCAAATTTTGTTGGTCGCATGTTTCCCTATTGTATATGTTGGCTTGTGGATTAGTAACGTATAAAAAAGGATGCATGCGTTGGAAAAAAATAAAATAATGGCGATGATGCAAGATAGTGAAAGCGATGATTATTCAGATAGTAATTATGAAAAGATGGGGAAAAATTAAAAAAAAAAAAAGAAATCAAATCCAACGCGACAGTGTACTCTGTGCTCCCGTGAAAGAGATTCCAGCGGTAAGCCAGTAAGAAATGAGACCAGATACCAGTGTAGAACGTCAGGTATATCACTATGTGTTGTCCCTTGTTTCAAAAACTATCATGCAAAGATTAATATTTAACTTTTTTTCGTTTGCCCGAGATAACTCGGGATAATATAAACTAGTATTAAAAGTAAATGCTTTTACACCTCCAAAAAATTAAAAATTCAACTTAAAACTTACATATTTTGATTTGTTTCATTTTGTTGTATTTAATAATATAAAAAAATGTGATGATTTTTTGCAATTTTTTTCAAAAAAATTTGTAAGGGAAGTGGTTAAAAATAAATTTTTAGTCATAGATGTCAGTTTTTACATTAGAATATCAAACTTCTTATGTGTTATATTAGAATGAGTTAAACATTTACTAAGCATAACTGTAAGATCTAGATGACCATATAAAAGGTTAAATTTTATAATTTTTAAAAGTTTATTTCTTAGAATTTTAAAAATGCTGAAACATGAATATTTGTCTTATTTAAAAACTCTTTTTCTAACTAGAAGTATATATCTGTAACCCATGATTATGAAAATAAAGGCTTTATAAGGACTTTTATGGACTATGTATAAAACAATACTTATAAAAAGTGTAATATTTATAAAAAGTATATAAATAGTCTTGAATGCTATTTTTTTAGTCTTTTTATGTTGTGTTTTAAAGTGACAGGTATTAAGGTGACCTTTTTTTTACAATGAAAAGGAGGACAGAAAGTTTAAGAAAAAGTTAAATCTGAAATAAATGAAACATTTTATTAATTTAAACAAAAATACAACAGTTATGTTTACATCCCGTTTAGTTATTTTTTCCATTGAATGAATATTTTTTGTCAATACATCATTTTCTAACAAAATACTAGAAATATCGGAGCAAGAAATATTCTTCATATTGAATTTTACGGTAAGTGCTGCAGCTAAAGTGTCAACATTCAATTTTACGGTAAGTGCTGCAGCTAAAGTGTCAACATTCAATCTTGATTTCTCACTTGTCCAAAAATTATTACCAATTGAAAAAACTCTTTCAACAGCTTCATTAGTTCCAGGGCAACACAATGTAAACTCAACAAGAATAATTGAATTTTCATATGGAATGTTTTCATTTTTAAAATGGTTAAAAATTTCCACCCATCTTTTATCAATTTCAGTATGTTGATTTTCCCATTGTTGTAATTTATCAGTGTTTAAATATACAATCAATCTTCTAATTTCTTCAAACAGATGATTGTCATCAATTTTAATATTAGACATTTCTTTCGATAAAAACTGAAGACAGTTTTCAGTATCTGCCCAGTTTACTTGCATTTTATTGTGCTTGAAGTTAAAAAACATCGTTTAAAACTGTTATTTATTGTGATATTTGTTTCTGACCATTCTTCGACATAATGGAAAAATATTTCATAAAAATTCTGTACTTCTTTGGTAAACTTTTCCGTTATGCCCAGATTTGATTCCTCTAAGTTTGACTATTTCCTTTTTATTGTTAAAGGAATTAATTTTTCTGCAAATCAGGATTTATATTGAAGGACAAAATTGTTCAATATAAGGCAAACTTCTGTAGCTGAAATATGTTAGCATTCAATCTTTTGAATTGTTTTGTAGAAAACAGATGCCTGATTATGGACAAAATACATTAATACCTCCGATAATTCATTATTGGAAAAGGGTTCTAGAATTTTTGGTCATTTCTTTAAACTTAGAAAATATGAATGGAGAGGCTCAATTGTAAAACATGCTCTATAGCAGATTAGGCACTTTAGCAGTTAAAGCAAGCCATCTACCTTTTGAATATCCTAAAAGTTTCTTGTATTCAACATTTGGGTCTTCACAAAAATTTTTTAAAGCAGTCACACGAACTATAAAACGACTAAAATACAAATAAATTTTCGTTATTATTACTTCTACATCAATTGGCATGGCAGATGACGTTGTGTTTATTGCATTTGACAAAATATGTGCTTTACAACCTATACCTAGTATTTTCTTTTGGAGTAAATCTTGTAATTTTACATAGACATATTTACTCATTTGCATCTTCGCCCACCAAAATTTGTGTTTGTATTATCCACTGTTAGTGCAACAACTTTATATTTCAAATTGTTTTAATTTATTACTCTGTATAGGTGGTTTGCCAAAATTTCAGCAGTTTCGCCCTCAGTGGACTCTAAATTTTAAATTTTTACGTGAATGCCCTTGTTAACATTATAATATCTTACTAGTATTGAATACAATTTTATTTCATTATGATTTGATGCATCATATAAAATTGTTACAAATGCTGCATTTTTCAAAGTCTTCTGCAATTATATTATCACAGTAATTTTTTAATACTGATTTAATAATAGCCTCACAATTTGTTCTGGCAAATGAAAATTTAGGATTATGAAAGTTTTTCAATAATTTCATTGTACAATTCATACTACGAAGACTTTGAATTATTGTATGAAATGAAAATGTTCCCTCCATTACAGCTAACTGTTTTTCCTCTTCTGAGTAATTAAAAGTTTTTGAAAAAAAAAATTAATTTATTACTGGAAGCTGATGCATCTAATGATTGCTTATGTTAGTTGGTGTTTAAGTGCTTAGTTATGGCTGCTTTGCCTACAACTGCAATACAAAATTCTCCTCTGCAAATTTTGCAAAAAGCAATGGTGTCTTTCTTTGACATGAGAAATGGAAATTTCTTCTTCACCTGATCGTTGAAATAGCACTTCCTCTTCTTTGATTTTTCCATCCTTTAAATAAAATTTGGAGCTACATAAACAATGTAAGCACATTATAAATAAAACTAAATCTTTAATAACAAAAACTATGAAACTTTACTAAATCTATATTTAAATTTTAATTATTTTATATTTGTGATGAAAACAGAGTTGTATAATAAAATTATATTAATGAACAAATAAAACAAGAATTCTACTTATTAAGGCACTTACCTGAGTATAATAATTATACAGTGAAAGAAATTCGTATTTGCGTCATATGTAAATGTGAACTATAATATTATAGACACATTAAAATAAACCAAGTAAAATGCGCAAAACTGTGAGGGTGCGAGACAAATGTGGCTGCGTGAAGTTTTGATATGTCCAGAATGTGCTGCGTATGCGTTTTATAATCATGTTTTTCGAACTACACCATCACATGACAATTGATGCATAACATTTCGACGTGGCATCTTTAAATAATACAGAGATAAATACATTAATTGTAAAATATTGAAAAAGAGGACAGTTGGAAGGATACTTCTTGAGGAAGGACAGAGCCTACCAAAGGAGGATGATTGATCACCTTACAAGTATTGAACTATAATGCAACAAAAGAGTGAGAGGGAAAAAATTGAACTAAAATATTTTTGCTTTTAATGTTGGTAAGACAATAACTATTATTGTATATTGTTTCCTAGATAGCGAGTGTTGAAAGTCATCACCATTGACATCTTTCAACATTTGCTGTGATATCACTGTGCTTTGCATACATCTTGGTATGTCTGTAGCAAATTTCGTTATATTATGAGAAATAGTTTGATTTTTATAATGAAAATCAGGGACCAAAAGCAAGTGAAGTATCCTGTGTGTTGATTATGAAAAAATTATTGACTTGATAGGATTTTTAGGATACTGGAAAGTTAAGAAGCAGTTTTATTGTATCTGTTATGTCTTTAAGCAGAAATTTCTCCCCTTTAGTTAACATTATATAAATGTTAAACACAAAATAGTTTGAAGTTTTAAAATTTTTTTCATATTTTATTCAGTATTTTGAATGACTGAATATTATATTCAGTTTATAAAATTTCAGCGTTCCAGTGATAGGTCATGGAGGCATCTGTGGGCAATTTTGCGGAATAATATTCTTTATTTGCTAAAAGAGAGAAGGGAACCTTCAAAAGTAAGTTTTTATCTCTGCATTGTAATATACTTCTTAACAAAGTAGTTTTACTATTATACAGTTTTATATTCTTAACGAAGTTTTACAAAGTTTTACAGTTTGTCAGCATTTTATTGTGCTTGAATATTTTCATTCTCTGAAAATTTGTCTAACAATTAAAAAGTATTGTAAAACTGAATTCATTGAACTATATTTTAAAAACTATAAACTGAGCTATATTTATAGAAGACTGAATGTAAGAAGGATTTAAGTATTCAGTTAACTTCCTATTGCAGTAATAATTCTGGAGTTTTGATATTGTTTCACACTTTTGAGGAATAAGCAGTGTATCCACTTACATCAGATAACTTGTAAATATTCAGAATGCATAGCATTTAGCTAATGGCTTTTCCCCCATTTAACAATTCTGTTTAAGAACATTCATAGTAATTTTTGTAGAGTATAAATGGCAATAAGGTGGCAATCAAATACCAAAAATCTGCCGACCTGAAATGCCCAACTTTTGAAATTCACACACAGTTTCTCAAAATGTAAACATTCAGTTTATAGGTTTAGGAAACCGCACACCAAATAATGATGTCATAACAGAAATACCTACATTCATATTACAAATCATTATATCATGGTAAAAAGTCCCTCCACCTCCTCCAATCTGCAGTGAGGTAAAGAAGCAAACGACGTCACTTAACATCCCTTTCAAGTTCACGACTCGTGGTTATATTTCTTGAACTTTGTAAGTATAATTTGTTCACGAGGTTTGTTTAATGCTGCCATTTTGTTGTTTTATCCAGATTTTTTGTAGCTATAATTTTTTTTAAAATTAAAATCAGTGGCAGGCAAGAAATAAATTCGTGATTTTATTGCTTGCAACGTTGAAAAATGCAAACATGTTGCATTGATGGTAATGGAAAAAGTGGAAATTTTGCAGAAGATGCAGGGAGATGCTATTCCTCAGTACTTCTACAATCTTTTATCATGCCACAATATCGTGGCCTTTTTTTAGCCCCTAAATACTATGTCATTGAACCAACCAATGGACCAGAGCACAATACACAGTATTAAACGCCACTACAAATTGGTGTTTCTGAAAAAAAATTTTTGAAGCAACCATTTTATATCATATTGTGATTATTGAAAAAAATTGCAATGAAAAACTGCATCTCCTTGTTAACAGAATCATGGACTTCTGTTTTCCAAACAGTATTAGCAAAATGGCTGTGTAATATGTGGTCATCTTCTCTGTTCATTGGAACTTAGAGCGAAGACAGTGAATTTTCTGGTTTTTGGGCTCACTGCAGCAAATTTTATGCTTTAACCAAAGCAAGGCAATAGCTTCTGTATTAAAAAAAAAAAAAAAAAAAATTATATGGATGATGTTATAAAGTATTTCTCGCACTTCCCTAGCGCGCCTTCGTGGTGCAACGGTAGCACGCTGGGCCGGTATTCCAGAGGTCCGTGGTTCAATTCCCAGCGAAGGCGGTTGCATATTTTTCATCTCTCTGGCTTCCAAAAATATACCTAATGTCTCTACAATGTGTTCAGATGAGCCCACACTGGCATATCAGGTGACATCTGATGAAATTATTGACTGTGTTTTGAACTCAACAGAGCAACAAAAAGATTCCAACACAGATAATTAATTTAGTAGGAGTGAGAAAATATCTTATTATATTTGAAGAAATTAAATAATGAAAAATCTGCATAAATGTATGTATATTTCTCACATTGTGATAAAAAAATGGTACATAGAACCATCGAATTTTGAATGATGTAATCCTCCTATGAATATGAGCATGTGGAAGACCAAATTTGAAATTTGAAATTTGTAATTTGTTTTATTATTGATTTCTTATTTTGTAAAACTTTAACAAATTTTTGATTAACAAACTCAAGGATTTCAAAGCAAGCAATGGCAACGCTGTACAGAAAAAACATTTTTATCTCCAGTTCGTGAGTCTCTGTATTGGAAATTCTAAAGATATTCTCATTTTAAAACTATTTTGCAATATTGCTGTAGAACTGAATTTTATGGTTTAAGTGCGAAGAATGGGATATTTAATAAATAAATGTAACACACAAAATGTTAAAAAAACGCCCTTTTGGAGGTAATTTAAAATCTGAAACATTTCAGATTTTCTTTTTCTTTTTTTAACTCTTTATTTCTTTATTTTTAAAAATTTTTTATTTCTTTTTTTAGCTAGACAAAGAAGCACTTTGAATCTACATATTTCAGCTGCTTTTTCACATAGTTTCTGTTATTTAGTTATTTATCATAGCATAAGTTTTTGTAGGCTTGTGTCTTAGAAGTGTACCATCTAATAAATTACCATCCATTGTTTTCTCTTTTCCATCTGTATGGAAAGCTTTCCACTGAGAAATCATTTTAGATGCAAGGAAATAGGTTAATCTGTCAATGCTACATCCATGCTATCTTGGAAGTGATCCATTTGCCACCAAACAAAAAATTTGTTTAGAGCAGTGGTCTTCAAACTTTCTTGACTTACAGAACACTTAAAACTAGAATTTTTTTTGGGGGGGGGAAAGAAAAGTATATCTTATTATAATACTTAAAGTGTTGTAAATTAAAATGGTATAAGTCTTTTATGTAAAGATGATGAAAAGAAAGTATTGTACTTTTATTTAAAAAAAATAGCATTAAATTAATGTAATTTACTTATTAATAGCAATAACTTGTGCTGCAGGTGTCATCTATTTTTACGTTATATTTAGTGATCGCGTATGCTTGCATTTTTTAACATGAACTGTTGAAGTCTAGCTCTGTTGATGTTATCTTCAGTCGCATTTCATATTCTGCATTTAATTTGTTTCTATATTATGTTTTATTGCCACATACATTGAGAAAGATTTGTCACTTAATACGCTATTCCGAATGGCATTAAAATATTTATAGCAGTGCAGGAAACTTCTGTGTATTCTACACAAATCTGCATCCAAAAATTCAGGAGCTGCTCTTAAATTTAGATTTTAACCTTGAATCTGTTTATCTATCTATAAGTTTTTCCTTTCCTTCATTTGCAAACCTTTTGATTTATCGTAGTACTCCAATGTATTTTTTTATCCAATTATATTTAGTTTTTCTGAGAAATATTCCCTTCTAGTTTTCTTTAATTGGCAAAGGTGCTTCATTATATAATTTTTACCACTATCATCTAAATTCAATTCATTTTCAATTAGAAAACTGTTTAGTTTTGCAAAGTACACATCATTTTCTTTGACATATGATGACCACAAGTTTTAAAAAACAATGCATTAATTTTTTTCTTTAATTTTTTAATATGTACATTCAGTCCTTGAAGGGATATCTTTGCTTCATTTAGAATGGCAAAAATGTCTGGTAAATGGGAAAACATTGTAGTCACATTTCATTACATTATTTTGAAGCTTAGTCATGACTTCTTTCATTGAAAAAAAAAGTCTGACTTCATCTTTTAACTCAAAACATCGGTTCAGTACTTTTCCTTTCAATAACCTTCTGATTTCTGAATGTAAAAGAAGAGTGTCGCTGGGTAATTCTTTGCATAATTAAGCAATCTTGAATTTAGTTTCCTTGATTATATAAAATTTATAATTTTCACATCAGCATTTAAAACATTCTTTAATGCATTTGGTATTTGTTTTGCAAGTGCATAGTGATAAGACGACAATGGGTATGCTTAATGCGTAGTGCAGTTGTAGTGCAGCAATTATTCATGATATTATTTCTTTGTTGAAACCCAATAGCAGTTTTGTTCCATAAATATATGAACATAAATCCCAACAAAATTTTTGTGCCAATTGTTAATAAGTTCAAATATGTTTTTCCCACTTGTTCTTGGGAAGAGATTTGTAAAGGAGCATATCTTGGACTGTAGAATTCAAAACATAGCAAAGCAAAGACTGCCAAAATGACCAAACCAGCAACATCCATTGATTCATCAAACTGCATGGTAAATTGATGGAGAGATTTTAAACGAAATATTAGTTCTTTTTCACAAAAATGTCTATTGTCTTAATTTGTTGTGTGATGGTGGTATCAGAGTGGCACAAGTTGTAAATTTTTTTAAGATATCTGCTACCAAATTTGCAAGATATATCTCTATACAAGGCTTTAGTAACTTTTCACCAATTGTATATGCCTTACATTCTCTAGCAGTTCGATAATTAATATGAATAAAAGCCTCAAGACAAGTTAAACTCTTGGAATACATGAGCTTCTAAAACAATTTTTTGTTGTTGTTATTTAGTTCATCAAAGTTATTACATTCAAAATGTTCAGTATTTTTAATGTGAAGATGTGGATGTAAATTTCATATGCATTTTTAATTTAGCAGAGTTTAAGCTAGTCTTCATAAAGAGTTTTTCTTACTCAACGCGTAGTCAGCTGGGCTTATCTTCATTTTCCATTCAACTGAAGCAAAATGCTAAATAGATGCCATCAAATTTTCACCGCCCCTTTTTTATTGGTGCACAAATATTCAAATGAAGAACTTGAAGGAAATAGCCATTGATTATTTATTATTGATGATATCTGATCAATGTTAGTATTGTTTGGCCATTTTTTATAAAAATAATCAGAATTATCATAATAATAAAAATAATCAGAATTATCTCTAGTCATTTTTTATCTGATTTGACTAGTAAGAAAGAACATTGCAAAGTAAATATTTTCATCAGTAATAATTTAATTTAAAAATATCACAATATAAATATTTAAGCTACCTGAACTATTTTCAAAAGTAAGGGCATTAAAAAAGTTTACATGTCTACATCTACAAACAACTACACTACAAACCATCACTACACTACTACCATCTACAAACAACTACACTATTACAAAGTCTACGGCACAAGACATAGTTAATGCTAATAGAATGCACAGAAAAATGTACCTGCCAACTACCATTTCACTGGGAGGGGGGGAATTGCTGACACAAAAGAAGCTCGCCTTCAGATACTCATGGTCATACGAACTCTGCAGCAAATGTGAATCTATTTTGTACACGCATCGACTGAACAATCGAAAAATACTGTTATACGTATGTCACTTTCACACATTAAGGAAGTTGGCAGCCCATATTAAAAGCTTGCGACTAATTCTCAAATATAACTAATTGTATCTTTATATTTTTTAGCTAATAAATACTAATTAATTAGTGTGAGTGTTTTAAAATTTTCATTTTGAACTTTTATTTTGACTTGTGAAACCCTGGGGTTCCATGGAACACTGGACTAGAGCTTGCATTTCAATAGCACTGTTAAGTCTCAGATTCCATTAAATCTACAGAATTACAGTAAACAATAAGCTCTGGCAATTATTCTGTGTTGTTCACTGAAGTTTGATAGTTTAGAGCAAAGTTTATTATTGCTCCTTACTGTATGAAGTTCTCCAGCTAAACACTGCATCTGCCCAAGAATGCAGTTGTTATAATACTGGTGAGTTTTGATTATAAATTTGAATTTCGGTCACTTGAGAAATGATGTATAACAACTGCTGTTGGGATTCAGGTATCATGTGAGACACACTTATCTCTTTTGCATGATGATATGTTTTAGCAGTTCATCATCATATGCTTGTTATCAAGCCAAAAATTTCAAAGCAATGGCTATCTTTGTCTTCCATTCCTCGGTAAGCTTCTTTGGAATTTATTGATTGCTAAATTTTCTATTGCCCAAATTATCTGACAAAATTTCTTGAACAACTGATCTTGCTACTTTTGGGAAATTCACCAATAGCACAGACATGATGAATTTTCTGTTCTCGCAAATTATGGTTAGCACAAGATTGTTGGTTGTAAATGGTTAACTTGAGCATGGTTCATCATATATTTTTCCCTGTCCTTCCTTAAACAGTCTTACCCATTTTGAAACTTTGCCATCCATCATGACATTTGGTCATGTACTGCTTAGATCTGGTAATGAATGTTTGTTGACACAAGCAGTGGACCCTATTTTGGGCAGTTTGATCATCTTAAACATTTCAATGCACACACTTACCAGCAAAATTTAAAATGGTGCCTTTCTTCAAGCTAGGTCTGCTGAGAGACACTGCAAATATATAAAATTATGGATATACATGCTTTGCAAATATATTGCCAATTTATTCTTACTTAATATGTGTATATCTTGTAAAAGTTACTGATGTATAAAATCTGTTTAAAATAAGTACTCTGTGTATAAGTTATGACATTCACTTTTATCTTTCTTTTAAAGCCAGATATGTTTATCTCAAGTGTCCTGATTTTTATAAGTGCCATGAAAATAATTTATGATGTTTAACAGGGAAAAATATTTTTTTTTTTAGGGAACTTTAACCGGTGATGAACATGTGATAAATGTAAAGTATAGTATAGCCAAAGTTGCAAATGATTATGTAAAAAGGAAGCATGTTTTACGTCTGATGCTTTTAAATGGGACTGAATATTTAGTTCAGACAGAAAGTCATACAAGTATGATGGAATGGTTGAAAGCGCTTCAGATTTTTGCAAGGGAGATAGCTGAGGTAAGGTTAAGCAAGAAATGTGTTAGAAATGAGTTTACTTTTATAGAAATTTTATGCAAATATTTGTAATACTTGGTTTTATATCTTATAATCTATTGGTATAATTAGTTCTAGTTTTAGTTAGTATTTTATAGTTGTAATTAGAAATTTCTGATATGCATAAGGACATCACTGAATTTTCAAAAATGATTGCAAATTTCATGCACAGATATAATCTGATTTATTTTTTCTATTTCTTTTTCATAGTTGCCAGAATGGCTGAAAAATACATCAGTATTAGAAAAAGCTGCAGCATATGAACAGCAAATACAGACACATAAAAAGTCTAGTAGTCAACAACATCCAATGAAGAAACTTGTTTTCCGTCATCGCAGCCCATCTGAACATTCCCCTACTGTGAAAACTCGGCGAGCTTCTCAGGGAGGTTGGTGATGCTAAAATTATGATAATTTTGTGTAGTACACATTTTTATGTTATTTTTAGCGTTCTTTTGAATTTCCATTATGTGCTCAAAAATGGGGAAAAGAATCTAGGTTTCTTATATAAAAATATATATATTTATTTGTATGACATCCCGGAGCAAAATGAATTTCTGTTAATTAGGTCAGGATTAAATAATCAGATGTGCTTTGTCTGATGATTGATGGCAAAATCACCATTCCATTTCATATAAATATTTTATAGCTTCTACGGGGGAAGGTAAATTTCATCCTAAAATAGTTAAATTACCAAAGCTACTATACCAAGAAGAGTTTGTTCACATTTCAGTAATAAATTTGATATGTAATTATCTCCTTTTTAAACAGGGGGCTGCTTTTCTAACTCCTTTTTTAAAGTTATCTTATTCAGTTCTTCATATATCTAGCTGATTGACAGTGATGTATTTCTTTTAATAATAATAATGTCATGGAGTTTTCATTCCCCATTGAAAACCACACACAGAACAGACTGATTTATTCACTTTTCTAATATTTTGCGACATTTCAGTTTGTGTTGTTTCAGAATTCCAGTTTTCCTCTCAGATGCTGTTAGAGTAAAAAGTACACTAAGACTGTTGTTGAATTTTTCCCAACAAAATCTTTCCAAAATAAACAGAATAAACATGTATTTCGGTACTTTTCCGTTTTGCCAGCGCAGGCGATAAAGTCGCCAATAATGGTACAACCGATGCCAAACGGAATATCCTCGCTGGCAACCATTTACTTTTCATTTTCAAAATAAACTGCAGCCATTTGTTATCAAATTGATTGTTTCTTTCAATACTGTCATACAATTACTTAGAATGTTTACCAGATAGTTCAATCTTATGCCCTAAGGCCATTCGCGGGCGGTAATTAAGTGAATTAGGATGCAATCAGGACGCTCACCGAATGGCGAAAATATAGAAAAGATTAAGTCAAGGATTAAATTCGTCCATTCTAATGAGAATGCACTAGCGAAGTAAAGCACTGCGGTTTTACATCATTTCTGAGTAAGCTATTCGCACAAATTGAAATAATTCTTGCATTTAAACTTGTATTCAAAATTAAGATTTAACTTGAAATAATTGTAGATAATGACTGAGAGAATAAGATTTTTGTAGCGTAGTTTACGTGAGATGAGATCACTAGGGATCACGTGATATGAGCCGGCGAATCAGGATGTTGAAAGCATAGTAAATTCTTTAATTAATGTATTTTTACAAATTCATTGTCTTTATTTATTAGCTTTTTTACAAAATTTTAAACGACATTAACATTAACATTAGTCAACATTTTTTATGTGCATGCTGTGTGTTGTCGCCAATAAATTCTGCTTGGCGAGATTTGCGTCGGCGAAACGGAAAAGTACCTGTATTTCCAATTTTGTTTTCTTATCACATATATTTTAAAATTTAGGCTTTGAATTAGTATATTTGTTTGTATTTGTAATTACTTATTTTGTTCATATGCTCTGAAACTAATTTCAAGTGTAAAATATTTATTTTTGCATTTCTCCAATGAAAATATAAGATTACGCATACTTGGTATTAGCAGGTACATTTCTATAGCATTTCTTCCTTGTTGAAATTCATTTAAAATACAGTGGCATAAATGAACTTTATCAGTAGTCATAGGTACCCTATCGCTTCACATTTAAGACTAGTGTGAATCAACTTTGTTTTAATTAATTTGCTACTTCAGTATGTATACATTAAGTAATAAAAGTAGACAGCCGAACATGCGCCAAAAAAACATGTCCTTACATGTTGAAAATTATTGTCATAGAAACAGACAGAACTTTCCAGTAGACTGAATATTTTGGGGATTAAAATAAAGTTTTTTTTGCTTTGAAACTGTATATGATGTAAGGAATAAAATGAAAATGCAATGCCAATGATATCTAACAGATTACTAAAATAAGAACTGGTGTTAGGAAAATCTCTTGTCTTCTTATTTAGTTAGGTTCATGTGGAGGCAGAAAGTAATAATCTGATGCAATTTTGAATGTGATTACCAAAGCAATACGGGGCAGAAATGGGGGGGGGGACTTTCCTTGAGCTGCCAATGTTGGGCGTACATTTCATTGCCAAAAGGCACTCAATAGATTGTTGGTAATGAATCAACAGGTACCAGTTAATATGCAGATACCAAAATTGTGGGCAAATTTTGGGCTTCTATTTGAAAAGCAGATTAATCATGTTTTAACTCACCATTAATTTTTCATTCAATATATTTGTTCCTGTGTCATGATTAATTTTATAGAAAATCTAATTGACAAAATAAAGAAAAATTTATATTGTTTTGTATGCACACTTTTCTAGTTTTGTGAAGTTTCAGAAAGTATTGGTTAAACATTTGTTCTGTGTTAGTAAACTTATATGATGATTCATTTTCTATAAAGTTAAGCTCATTTAATTTTGGAAAATAATTTTGTCATATATAATTCTGTTAATTGATTTGTAAATAAGAATAAAAGTAACATAAATTTAAAAAAAGAGGGACACTTTTTCATTATCCACACTCCCAGTGTCAACAGTCAGTAGAATTGCTGTGTTTTTGGACATGTTTTTAATTTTACATGGAGCCAATAGCTAAACCATGCATACATGCACCTCACACATGTTTGAGTGATGTTCGTTTATATTTTTTTTATATTTAACCGAACAGTATCCATTGGTTGTAAAAATATAAATATCGACCATTTTGATTCCCCCCCCCCATAAAATTTCATGTTTCTTATAAAATGCTTCTATTTATGAACATAATAATACCTACATGATGTAAAGATAAACAAGCAAAATTTTTTGCAATTTTCCAGATTTGGCACTGAGTGAGTGATGTTTCATGAGGGTAATCAAAACCCACCAAAAATTTTGTGCTACTTGAATAAATGATTTATAATAATAAATTAATTGCAGATGAATTAGCTCTTACAAAAATTGGTGTATTGTGGCGTGATCGAATGGTTCAAGGTTGGAAGAAAGTACATGGAACTAATTCTCAGATACCAAAAGATGCTTCATTTGGAGTAAGATTAGAGAATGCACCCCCTGGTGTTACAAATGAAGTAAGTTTTATTTGAAATACTTTTCTCTTACTCTCAGCACAGTAGTGTAAATTATGTAATTAAAGTAAATTATAGTCTTACTGTATGTACCCAGTCTTAAGAAGTAATCAAAATTACAATTTTAAATGAATTGAAAAATCATAGATAAATAAATTTTCTTAATGTTTTGAGAGAAGCATAGTATAATTTTTCGATGCTTTTCTTCCCACATTTCAGATGGTACACATGAAATATTTATATGTGTAAAATTATTTCTTATTGTTTTCATTCCTTAAAAAGGATGGAATAGATTGAATGTCAAACTAAAATGGATTTTGTTCTGTCATTTGTATCAATTTAAGGTTTAACATGCCCCTCTTTTTTACATGAAATGGTCAATAAAACTAAATAGGGAAAACATTTTTAATTAATTATTTGCTCATTAAAAAAACTAATACTGGCAATTGAAATTAATGTATTATAAACTAGATGAGTCTGAGGTGTGAAATACTTTTAATTAAGCTTCAGAACTCTGGATATTTAAATATAATTAACTCGTATTTAGTTCTGGTATAATAATCAGTATATACTTTAAATAGCTACCCTTATGGGTGTTATGCTGCTAAAAAGATAGTTTTTTGATATTATAATAATTGTGTATAGTACTTATTTATTTTGTATTTTCAGCATGTTCCTTTAATAGTGGAGCTTTGTGTGCAAATAGTGGAAACCAGGGGCTTGGATGTTGTTGGAATATATAGGGTACCTGGCAATAATGCATCAGTCAGCGTATTGACTGACATGGTCAATCAAGGTATTGATGATATTGTCCTCAAAGATGGCCGCTGGAATGATGTGAATATAGTTTCCAGTTTGCTTAAAGCCTTTTTCCGAAAGTTACCAGAGCCGTTACTTACTTCATACTTGTATCCAAAATTTATACAAGCCAGTAAAATAGATGATCCAGTTAAAAGGCTGAAAGCAATCAAATATGTGGTAAGATGGGTTATTTCTTTTAGTAGATTAAAAAATATGCAAATTGAATATAACTTATTATTAAGATGAAGGTAATATCTTACATATGCATATTTGGTTTTGGTAACATTGTTTGGATGACAAAAGGCTTGTATTAATATCATCAGTACATAAAAAAGTATTTGCAATGAAGAAACACATTTTGTAGCATACAATATTAAGCTTAGTTTTTAAATTGAAAACTCAGTTTTGTTCTTTTCCAGTTAGATGCATGTTATAGTATAGTTATGGGAGATGCAGTATCAACAGATGCCTTCTTAATTTGTACTAACTTGTAATACCACTTTCAGTTTGTTACTTATCTCCAACTTTCAGACATTTAGGATGCTGTCAACTCTTAAATGGCAAGTGCCATTTAATTTAAAAATTCACTATTTTAAATCCATTTATAGTGAAAAAGTGGAAGTGATGGGAAAAAAATATCACATATAATAATATCATGTGGTTGAAACTCGAATTGATTGAAATTAGGTGGAATGGAAACTACTACTGCTTAAAATTATACTCTAGCATATTGGGAAAAGGATAGGAAATCACCATATATATATATATATATATATATATATACACACAAACACACACGTATTATATATATATATATATTTTTTCCCCCAATGGCAGATTTTGAACAATTACAAATGTGACCCAGTCGATTAATCTATACAAGGCCAGATGTGGTGGTCTTTTTATTATGGAGGTACATTATAGAAGGGCCATCATCGCCTTTCCTATGAAGGGACGGACAATTACAATCATGTCTTCTTCGGGATTCGAACCCAGGCCCTTTGGCATCGCAGTCAGCTTCCCTGACCACTATACCGACTGGGCGGCCACACGTACATATAGTATATATACCGTAATTTCCAGAAGAAACGCCACAGCGTTTTAGCATGTTTAAAACTTAAATTTTCAGCAGTTGTGGCATTTCTACCTATGTGGCGTTTAGGTGCACTAAAAATAAAATATTTCCTGTGATGGTCATTGTACATAGTTTGAATAACCTTGTCATTGTACACAGTTTGGTTGGCCTTGTCATTGTACATAGATTGGTGCTGTTCCCACACAAAAGACCACTTAGTTGCTTTTTGCGAACATTATTTTGTTTACATTCTTTTCCTTGAACGGACCTACATGCCTTATTCACCCTAAACTAGATCTCAGAACAATAACATTCTTCCCCTTTCAAATCAGCATTCTCATCATTTTGAATAGTCTCTCTCCTCTGCCATTCGATGAATCTTCCAGCACCCATCCTCTCCCCACCCCTGCCTTTTCTGCAATTTTTTTCAAAGGCGAACACGACTCCATTTGCCTCGCAATAATAAACTCTGACCTGACGTATTTTCCCTTCAGCATGAATCGATTTTTCTTGGCATTCTGCCAGATACGGATCCCATCAGTTTGGGTATAAGTACTTGTTGGATAGTTTTTAAGTAAGAAGGGAGTGGAAACATTTTGAAAATGGCACCTAAACGGCGCAGAAGCTATACTGCTGGTTTTAAGCATAATGTAATTTCACATGCTGAAAAAATTGGAAATAGAGCAGCAGCTAAAGAGTTTGAAGTGGACGAGAGATGTATTTGATTTTGGAGAACTAAAAAAGAAGAACTTAAAAATACGCCACAACAGAAACGAGCCAAAAGAAGTGGTACTGTAAGGTGGCCGAATCTAGAGAACGACCTTGCAAACTGGATAATGGAGCAACAAGGAAAGGGAATGGCAATTTGAGCAATTTTGCTTACAAGCAAAATTTATAGCAAAACAAATGAACATAAATGATTTCAAAGGAGGGCCTTGCTGGTGTAGCAGATTTATGAAAAGAAAAAATATTTCTGTGGGTACTAGAACAACAGTTGGGCAACGGTTACCAATGGACTGGCTGGATAAAAAGCCATTTTTTCTAAAATATGTTACAGATATTATTGACAAAAAAAACTTCTTCGGTCACAGGTAATAAATATGGATGAAACGCCGTTAGCTTTCGACTTTCCTGCAAACAGATCTGTTGATGAAACTGGTGCAAAAACTCTATCTGTGTTTACAATGGGGCATGAAAGAATGTCATTTACATGTGTGTTAGCTTGTGCCGCAAACTATGACAAGCTAAAGCCGATGATCATTTTTAAACGAAAAACTATTTCGAAGGGAGATTTTCCTAATGACATAATTATTTGTGCAAATGTGAATGGCTGGATGTGCGAAATAATCATGCATGAGTGGCTACAAAAAGTTTGGCAGTGTCGTAAGAGATCTTTTTTCCAAACAAAAGGGTTATTGATAATGCATTCCATGCGTGATCATTTACTTGAGTCAGTGAAAACCAGATGTGAAAAATTGTCTACGACCGTAGCAATAATTCCTGGTGGTTTGACAAAAATCTTACGTTCATTAGATTTGTCAGGGAATAAATTCTTCAAAGCTGAAGTCCGAAAGTGGTGGGAGTGTTAGATGAGTGAAGGATTGTATATGTACATCAAAAGTGGCAAAATGCATAGAGCATCTCATAAATAAGTTCCAAAGTGGGTAAGAAGTGCATGGAAATCAGTAAAAACATCGTCAATAATAGCAGGGTTCAAAGAAGCTGAATGAAATTATATCCTTAGATAAAAAGACTGTAAACCAAGAGGATGAATGTGACGATCTGGAAGACTTGGACTTAGATCAGGATTTACTAAATCTTATTAATTCAGATAGGAAGAATCAGATTTTGATGGTTCATATGATGTATAGTTTGCAATAATCCTTTTGTGAGTAAAATTTAAAATTTCCTTTTGTAATCCAATTTAATATTTCGTGTTTGCAACATTTTTTACATTATAGTCTGTATTACAAATCTAGACTTCTTTAGTGGGTAAATGTAAGTATATTTGGGAACATAAATATATTTTCAACATTTCTTACCTTTAATTTATTTTTGAGTTATGGTTTCATTTCATGCATTTATCTTAACTCATATGTCATATATCAAGACATAGGTTGAGATTTTGCGTCTATACGGCCCACGACGATGTCACGCGCAATTTAATCTATTACGCCGTTTACGCTGATGCGACGTTTTTATGTAATTTGAATTTTTTTCCCGCCACTTTTCTCAAGTGCGCCATTTGTGTTGATGCGGCCTTTTTTCCGGAAATTACGGTAATAAATTTTTTGTCATTTTTATTCTGAAAGAGTTTGTAGGGTTGTTATCAGTGAAAATTTTAAAAAGGTATAATTTTCATTTTAGGATGCTAGATAATAAATCTGATAGAGTATAATTATAAAAAAAAAGCTGTTTTTGAAAAATTGGTAAATTATGCTAGAAATTTGGAATAAACATTTAAAAAAAAAGGTCTCCATCCCATTTGATTGTGCAAATAATGAAATTCTCCAAAGCATTGTTTTAATGTTTAATACAAAAAAATTCTTTTGATAAAAAATCACTTTGAAGTGCATACTTTTATTGTCTACACATTGTATGTAATTTTGCAGCTCTTAGCCTGCCCCTAGACTATGCAGTGGACTTGCATACAAATTCCTTATTTTATAATAATAAAGATTGTGTGTTACAATTTAATTATTGTCAAAGCTTTTGAGTTACAAGACTCTACTGTCATAGAGCCTGTCTTTGAAAATTGGTTTAAATGTTAAATTAATATGCGTATATTTGAGAATGTTTTCAGCAATTACAAACTCTTCTATACTGTTGAAAAAAATAATGAGTCTTGAAAATGGAACAATACAATACATATAATAAAATAGTATGAAAATTAAAAAAATTGTGCTACAATTTTGTAACAATTCATTCTTTTATTGATTTGTTTCTTGACCGAATGGGATAACATTGTCAATATATTCCTGCAAATAAACAATACTGTGATGGACATTTCTGTCTTCATGCATAGAATAATTTTTAATGATGGTTAATGATGTGAAAACATATTACATCGGTGTGATGCACAAGAAAGAAAAATAAATAAATAAATATGAATGTGTTATTTGTGTAACTTGTATTCACTTCATATATTCCTACTTTGCTGTATTAATTGAATTAACTATGGTGTCTTGTAATAAGGACTGCTGGTGCATAATTGCTATCTGCTTTTTTTTATATAAATGGCTTTATTTTTCAGCTCTATCAACTACCAGTTCACTACTTTGCCACTCTGCGATATTTGATGTATCACTTGAAGAAAGTAGTTGAACACTCTGACACTAATAAAGTAATCTAAATATCTTTTTGTATGGTTTAATTAGAAAATTTAATGTTATAACTCTTTCTTTTTTATGTATCTTTTCTAAATGTTAATATTTGTTTTCAAAAAACTTTTGCTTCTAAATTAGTAGTTTCTTATTAATAGCAAAACAAACAAAAATATTTTCATAAAATCTTTTGAAAAGAGGTGGTTTTTATGTTAGTTCTTGTACTAATGTGTTTCAGTTTGAAGCTGTGTTTAATATATGTAAAATGGTAATTGTAAATTTGAAAAGGCTGATAATAAATTATAGATGGAACTGTTTCCTAATGAATGTACAGTTAAATGTTTAAACACTCATAATTTTCTTGTTACATGTTTTAATTATTCTTTGTCTTCAGAAAAACTACCAGTAAAAGAGTTTCAGAATTAGATAAACTTTAAAACAAGTATATGCCTACTAGTTTTTCAGGGTTAATTAGAATCCTTAAAATCTTTAAACATTCCCTAATAACATTTTCCTTAACAGCAATAAAAGTATTTTTTATTTATTAACAGTTTTAAATAATTACCACTTGATGGAAGCAAATGGTATCTTTTAATAGTATCTGCTAATAATTTTTTTTTGCATATGAATATCATTCAAAAGTGTATTATAAAGAAGCTGATATTTTTAATTAAAAAGTCAAATAATAATAATTTGTATTTAATATTTCTCAAAGTCAAAAGCTATTAATTTAAAAGTCAAACAGCAAAAATCAGCGTTATATGAGTTGAATCAACATTGTTTGACTTCTAAATTAATGTTTGTTCGGCGTGTTATTGTATCTTAATTAATTAAAAAGCTTTTAATTAATTCTTTCTTTCATTTTGATGTACTGAATTTTTGCTCATATGTAAAGAATATATATTTTGTACACATAATATTATTATTTCTTCTCAGATGGAAGCAAGGAATTTGGCTATAGTGTTTGGTCCAACATTAGTTCGTACTACAGATAATAATATGGTCACCATGGTCACAGATATGTCTCATCAGTGTTATTTAATTGAAACAATGATTGTTTATGTAAGTGGATTTTATCTATAAAAATAATCATAACTAGATTTATATAGTGCCTTCATATTAATGCAACCACCTTAGTACAGTGTAGCGATTTTTTTTTTTTTACATATAAAACTCCTTGGGCTCACTTTTGTGATTACGGGTGTGGCAATTCCGAGGTACCCTAGTCCTTCAGGGGATCCCCTTCTTGGTGAGACGGCGTCACGACCTTGTTAGCCCCAGTGTTCTGTCTCACTTTCCTTTTCTCCTTTTCTTGTCTTCTGCTTTTCCCTCTCTTTCTCCCTTTGTGGTTTCCTTCTTGGAGGTTGGGGCTCCAGGTGAGAGACTGCTACATCTCTTTGTAAAAGCTCCTCACTGAGAGTGAGTAAACTGCCCGTGTGTTTGCCGTGCATGGAGACCCGTAAAACTGGAAAGGAGGGTCCTGGTAGTGGAGGGATGAGGTACTGTCCCCAGCACACTGCTTTGGCCTCTGCTTCAGTTTAAACGTGTGGTACATACTGGCCCCGTAGGTATCAGTTGGCTGGTCAAGTTTGTTTTTGGCTTGGGGTTAAGCAATCGGAGCATCTGCTGAACACCTCGTTAAAGGTGGAGGTCGGTTCCATGGATGCTCTGTGAGCATATAGACATGACTAGCACGGTGCAGGCATCTGCATCCCCTTGTTAGACTCGATGGTGGGTAATAAAGCCATGTCCGAAAAAATATTCTTATTATGACTTCTTCAAATAATTGTACTTCTCAAACCAAGCTTGGGCAGATTATGATAATTAATAAATCAACAGTACGTGCTCTCGCAGACAAAAAAACACTTGAATCAATTGATAAAACGCAGAAGGAAACCACTATTAATTCCGAATTAAGATCTACTGAAAACTACAGATTCTTTGTTATAAATAACTTAAATACGAACTGCAGAAAATGTTGCCTTTTTTTATAAATAAGTACGTAACTTCAGCAATAGGCAAAACAAAAAACATTAAGAAGCTTAGATCTGGTGATCTACTTATAGAAACCAGATCCCCCAAACAGACAGCTTCACTTGTTAGCAAGCTAACAAGACTCGGAAACACACAAATAAAATTCTCTCCTCATAAGACATTAAATTTCTCCCGTGGCTTCATTTCAGAATCAGACCTAATACAGGGGATGAAATGATTGCTGAACTGAAAAACCAAGATGAGTGCAGAGGGCAAAAAATTAAGATATGCCGAGATGAACAACTTGTAAACACGAGACATATTATATTAACATTTAAAACTCCGGTTCTTCTCAAATCTTATCAAAGCAGGATATCTAAATTGCCCAGTCCAACCATACATACCCATTCCAATGTGTTGTTTCCAATGTCAATGCTATGGACATTCTAAATTCTCCTGTCATGGCTATCTTACCCTATGCAGAAGCAAAGATGATAGTTGATAGCTCTCAGTCTCGACGTTTCCTATGACAATGCCTGTAAAACTTTTCGATCAATTGGAACTCAAACATTACCTACTCTTCAACCTGAAAAAACTAAAGAAAAATCAAAGAGTAATCAAGCAGACAAAAGCGAAGTAATAAAAAAACCGGATCCGCCTGAGCATAGAACTACAAGGAAAAAACAAAAAGTAATACAGAACCAATCAAAATTTAGAAGCCCGAGCAATAGCTCAGTTAGCAGCATCTGTGCTAATATGATAGATTCAGAGATGGAAACAGATGAAGGCCTCAACCTTCCGAAACATCTGATTCCACGCTCAACTAAAAATAAGCATAAAAAAGATAAGTCTCCGTGATGGCCACCCTCGTTTCTTGGAACTGTCGAGTTTCACCAAAGTCTTGTACACATCAAAGACCTGATTGATACTTATAATCCTGTGTGTATCGCACTGCAGGAAACTCTGCTCAGGTTAAACACTTCAACTAAACTACGGAGGTATAGGAAAGATAATGTGCCTAACGAGCGTACATGTGGAGATGTTGTCCTTTTGAATTCAAATAACTATCCAGCTTCTGTACTGCCTTTAGCCACACATCTCCAGGCGATAGCAATTCAAATAAATATAACAACATTAATCTCAGTCTGTTCGTTATATCTACCTCCAAATAGACACATTGATCAGCAGGACTTAGATGACCTCATAGAGCAACTACTTACTCCCTTCATTATTCTTGGTGACTTTAATGGTGACAATCCTCTTTGGGGAAGCGGCGATATTAATTCACGTGGAAGACAGATAGAACGTATGATTGATAATCACTGCCTCTGCCTTCTAAATAATGAGGAGAAAACATATTTCCATCAACCTCCAAGGACCTTCCATGTTTTGGATCTTGCCATTTGTTCACCTTCTCCTCTGCTTTTTTTGTCTCTTAATGTCAGAAGTGATCCTTTTAATAGTGATCATTTTCCAGTTTTTCTGTCTTTGAGAGGACCTAATACTAACCCCATTTTTAGACCTGCACACTTTCTGTTAGATCTGGCAGATTGGAATCGGTTCGCTTCCCACGTGGTGTTATTGGAAGATATGGTAAATATGATGCCTATAGATAAAGCAGTGGACACCATAACTCTTAAGATCCTTGAAGCGGTGGAACTTTCAGTGCCAAAAATCATCAACAAAGGTTCCCAAATACCCTAAATCCTGGTGGAACAGTGAATGTCAGAAGACTCAAAGGCAGCAAAGAAAAGCCTGGGGTATTTTTCAATGGTACCCCATCCAATTTTCTTACTTTCAAAAGAGACAGAGCTAAAGCTAGAAATGTATGGAGACAAAGTCAGAGGGATTCTTGGAGATCTTATGTAGCATCTGTTACATCATCTACACCTGGCAAAAAAGTGTGGGAATGGGTCCGAAAAGCATCAGGTTTATACAAGAATTACTCAATTCCAATTTTGCAATTTTGCAAATGGCCAAATGATAAGTTGCAGAGAAGAAATTGCTAACACTCTTGGAGAAGCTTTTGCCAATGTATCAAGTGGTAGTAATTATTCCACAGAATTTCTCTCCTACAAGCATCATATGGAAGATAAAAGAATTGTATTTAGCACTTCCAACCTGGAAGTTTATGATATTGATTTTCAATGCTTGAATTGAGGAGAGTGTTGTTCAAAACTGGCAAAACAAGTCCGGCCCCTGATGGCACGAATTATGAGATGATAAAACATCTCCCTTCTAAATCATTAGCCGCCCTCCTTGCACTATATAATAGAATAGAGGACGGTTTTCCGCATGACGGCGAAGACTAGAGTAACCCATAGCAAACGAAAAGATCATAGGAATCCCTTTGACTATTGTCCCATTGCTCTGACCAGCTGTATATGCAAAGTTCTTGAAAAGATGGTAAACTACTGCTTAGTCCACTATTTAGAAGAAAATTGTCTGTTATCGCCATATCGGAGCGGTTTCTTAAAATGAAGATCAACTACAGATAATATTGTAACTCTTGAAACAGATATACGAAATGCTTTTGTGAAAAGAAATCACTTAGTGTCCATATTCTTTGATTTGGAGAAAGCATATGACAGAACATGAAGATATGGAATACTTCGTGATTTTTATGACACTGAATTGTGCGGACGGTTACCACTTTTCATGCAGAACTTTTTAATGGATAGATGTGTCCAAGTGCAGATAGGCTCTTTGCTGCCAAAGGAGTTTATATAAGAGGAAGGTGTGCCCCAAAGGTGTGTTTTAAGTGTCACTCTTTCTAATTTAAAAATTAATTTTATTCTTAATGAACTTCCAAAACCAGACCTCGGCACATTATATGTT